AGCTTGGGAAGCTGGGAGTTGTGCAGCCATTCCTGTGAATGGACCCCAAGATGTGACGTTTGGAGTCTGAGAGCCTTGTTGCCACTGCTACCATTCCTACCCTGTTGGTTCTGGTTCAAGTGGGTGGATGGATTATCATTTGAGGAAATTTAGGCCTTCCTCCTTATCCTGACAGCCTACAGAGAACAAAGGACCCATCAGTGGTTACTTTCACGTCTTCATTCATTCTCTTTGCTAAATTTCTGTTTTTAAAATAGGGCCTTGTTTCAGGAAATCATCAAGCTTATGACTTTTGTCATAAACTCCTCTCAAATTGTTAGGTCATACTACTCTCCATTGTGTTAGTTCCAACCAACACTTTCCTTTATTAGAAATTGGAATAAATAAAAGGTACTTTAAATAAGATGTGATAAACCTAGGATAAACTGAGACTTATTTGTATGAAGGAGAAATCAAAGGGGGAGGGTGGAGTAGGAATTAAAGGAAGGATATGTTAGGAAGGAAAACAGGAAAAGTTGTAACTGATTCATCATGTGATGTGTGTGAGCAGGGGAGAAGGTTACTATGTATCTTTCATTGTCAGATCCTGTTAGGTTTTTAATCTGTTCTGCAGTGAATCTAATTTATAGAAGTGACAAAGGTGTGTTTTGTTTCTATTGAAACATTTTGGATGTGTTTGGAGCTAGTATCCTGAGAGGGGGAGTTAAAGATACATACTATAAACCATTACAGTAGCTCTCCAGTACCAGAGGCCAGTTAGTTTGGGATTAGAATTTCCTGGGAAGGTGCTTTTAATGTAATTTAAAATAAAAACTCACTTAACCTATTTCCTTCCGCCCCTCCCCAATCCCTTTGCTTATTTTCTGGGTCAGTCCCCAGTTCCCAAACTAGTTCCTTTATGCCATGCCCAGGGTATGTGCACATTTTTAGAGACTTAAAGAGCAGTTTTAGCCTTACAGTCAAATTAAGAGAAAGGTAGAGATTTCCCCTACCCCTACCTCCCTCCCATGTGCTGCCTCCTCTGTAATCAACACCCCCCACTGGATTGGTTCATTTGTACAATTGATGAACCTACTGTAACACATTGTAATCACCCAAAGGGCTGGTCCAGTGGCTCAAGTGGTAGAGCAAGCATGAGGTCCTGAGTTTAAACCCTAGTGCTGTAAAATATAGTAATTAATAATAAGCCATTATATAATTATCTAAAAAGTTTGCAAATTTGTGTTAGGGTTTTCTCTTGGTGTTGTACCTCCTGTGGGTGTGGATAGATGTATAATGACATAAACCCATCATTTAGTATCATAGATTATATCTTAAAAATCCTCTGTGTTGTACCTATTCTTTCACCCTCCCTGCTGTCTTAGCAACTGCTGATCTTTTTAACTTCTATAGTTTTACCTTCTCTAGAATGTCAAGTAGTTGGAATCATAGCGTGGAGCTTTTTACCTTGGTTTGTTTCATTTAGTGATATATAAGATTCTCAATGTCTGTCATAGCTCGTGAGTTCATTTATTAGCACTGAAAAATATTCCATGCTCTGGGTATACTACAGTTTGTTAATCCATTCACATATTGAAGGACATCTTGATTGCTTTTAAATTTGGACAGTTATGAACAAAGCTGCTGTATAGACACATACACGTTTTTGTGTGCATGGAAGCTTTTTTAAAAACTTCTTTGAGTAAATACCAGTGAGCACAATTGCTGGATCATATGGTAAGAGAGTATGTTTTAGTTTTCTAAGAAACTGGCAAACTGTCTTCCAAAGTGGCAGGCAGTATCATCTTACGTTCCCATCAGTAATGATTGTTGCTTCCATCCTCACCAGCATTTGGTGTTTTCAGTGTTCTGGATGCTGGCTATTTCTTACAGGTGCGTAATGATAATCTTACTGTTTGATTTTGCATTTCCCTCATGGCATATCAGATGAAAAGATGTGGAGCATCTTTTCTTATGGTTATTTGCCATCTGTGTGGTTTTTTTTTTTGGTGAGGTGTCTGTTAGGTCTTTGGTACATTTTAAATTTTTTTATTTTAGTCTTAAAAGCTCTTTGTATACTTTAGTTAACAGTCCTTTACTGAATATCTTTTGCAGACTTTTTTTTCTAGTCTCTAGCTTGTTTTTTGGTGGACTGTGCCTTTGATGTTGTATCTATAAAGCTGCCTTTTTCCCTCATCTACTTAATCTGGGTAGGATACACTAGTCACTATTGTACCAAAAAGTCTTTATGGTGTTGTTAAGGAATAGAATTCAGAAACTGTGCTTTACTTTTTGAGATAAAAGCCTAAGACTCTTTTTACCTTTCAATTGAAAATTTCTGGCTGCCCTCAAATAAAGATGGGCGAGATCCAAGATAGTAATTAGCATGCAGTAGACAAACGAATGATACAATGGTGAAGGAAGGCAATGCTTTTGAAAAACCTTAACTGATACCATTTCTTTTAAGAAGTACTTGGATCAACAAAATTTAAGAGTCTGGATGGTTTTCTGCAGTAGAGTTTTATCTATATTGCTCCTTTTTTTGGGGGGAGCGGGGGAGCAGTTACTAGGATTTTGAACTGCTTGCCAGGCAGGTGCTTTACCACTGAACCATGCCCTCGGCCCCTGTAATGGCTTTTATGACGCAGGACAGGGAACCAGTGTAGATTTAACCAGTTACTAATACACCTATTGCCTGTAGAATTCTAGGACTAGGAAAATAAGCGCAAGGAAGGCCTGTGGTTCTTTTGGACACACTGTGGGACACAAGGGCCAGCTTAACTTCATCTCATGCATCCCTCTTTAATGGTGGACTGCATTTGGGTCTCCAAGGAGTATTGTCAGTTCAGAGCTAGTATCTATTAACCTTTGGAAGGATTATATATTCTGTCTTTTGCAATGGACAGTCACCTTTGGGAATTTCTACAGCTTTCTTTGTAGAGAAAGATATACAGTATTTTTTGTAGCCTTGTAATGAATCACAATAATCGTATGTTTAATCCTTCTTGGTTTAACATCCTCTGAATATACTCCCATGTGTGCTTCCCAGACTCCTGCTGATAAAAAATGTTGAGATTCTGCAGATTTTTTGGTGTAAAAGCAGTGTTTTCTCAGAATAGGCCTTGACCTTTCTGTGTCTTTTGGGTTAGGAGTCAGTGGTGGTGGGAGTTGGTAGTAAAGTGAATTGGCATCCCTTGTAAAAGAACTTGGAAGAGTCCTCTGGGGGAGGGGAGCATTGGGAGTCAGGGTCTCCTCAGAGGAGTGGGGCAGTTGCTTTCAGCAGGGAAGTTCAGTTGAATTGGAGTTCACCATTCTTCGCCTCATCTATGTTTGCCCAGATATCTGCAACCATGATTCAGGTTCATTCTACTTTCCAGCCAATGCCCTTATGTTAGCACATCCTTGAGACTTACATATCCTTTTTTTTTTTTTTTTTTGAGACTTTGCACATCCTTGGTCCTTAGTCCTGTCCATTTGACAGCTATGAGGAGTAAAAGACTCTCCAAAACAGCCATAGATTTCTTACCCATCTATTTGGGAATTCTCAGTGTTCATCTTGCCATTTGTTCTGTGCACATTCTCAAAGACAACCAGAAACAACCCTTGTCCAAGATATAATCCCTGAGGCCAGCATTTTCATCAGCCATTTGGATATCCAGTAACCTCTCCCTGCACTCCATCCTGTGACACTGTGCACAGGTAATCTGAGTGATCATGATGTCACCTTGCCACTCCCTCCCTCCACAGAAAGGCTGAGGGCACTTATCAAACAGGCATCCCATTTTGAGACTCTTTCCTGGGGCCATTATTGATTCCAGTTAACTGCATCAGTCACATTGCATACTCAAAAAGTAATGAAGGGAGTCTGATAAAGGAACTGCTTACTATGTGTTTGGGCAGAGTTAAGGGAACAAGCAACATAGCAAAGCACCTTTTTTTTTTTTTTTTTTTTTTTTGCGGTACTGGGGTTTGAACTCAGGGGCCTTCACTTTGAGCCACTCCTCCAGCCTTATTTTTATGATGGGTCTTTTTTTGAGATAGGGTCTCACAAACTCTTTGCCTGGACTGGCTTTGAACTGCTATCCTCCTGATCTTTACCTTCTGAGTAGCTAGAATTACAGGTGTGAACCACCGGTGCCCAGCTAAAGCACCCTTTTCCTAAAGGTCTGGACCTCTTGTGTGCAGTCCATAGAGGTCAACTTATGGGAACTGCCGTGGCAGAGAAAGAGTGGTGATTGAATTTGGAAGGGGAAATGGAGAATATCTAGCATAATTGCCAAAATGGAACCCTTGGCCTCAGTTTGACTGTGCATCTTGAATGTAGGCCTCTACACTTAACTACCTGCTCTACCTGTACACATAGATACCAAGTGCCTTGTATGAAATACCTTATTGCTCCTACTTTATTCCTGATGTCACTCACTTTCCTGATAAAGGGAAGGCCTGAGGCCTAACGTTCTCCTGTAATTCTGCTGCTGTGGGTTTCAGCATAGTAAGGTACAGGCATTTTAAGCTCATAAATAGTAAAGTACCTGCAGGACCTGTCACACAAAGCCCACATGCTCAAGAGAAGTTGCGTAGTGTAGCATGAGCTGCTTGCTACAGGTAGGGAAGGGTGGGCTAGGGTGGGTCCTGGGCTTCCAGATAAGGCTAATCTGCCTTAAAAGAGTGATGGGCTCCACCTGCTCTAATAGCTAAGCAGTAGACCTGTGACAGGAGGGCAAGGCTCTGGTTATCCTGTTAGAGCCCCTTTAGTGTGCATTAACCCTTAAGTCCGCATGAACTACAGTGTACAAACTCCTGAAATTTCTGAGTAGTAAGGAGGTAAAAAGGATGAAAATGTTTGATTGTGGTTTAGTGATAGGATCATAAAAGAAACTAAGTTTCTTATCTAGGCTGAATTTATGAGTAAAAGTAAACTTTTGCTAGACTAAACATTAACTGGGTCCTATTTTCAAGGAATGACAAATCATAATATTTTAAAATTATTTTGCTAATCCTTTTTTTTCCTGTTGGTTAAGGTTGCATGATGGAATTTGAACATTACCTCAAGAGGTTTCATATTTTGGATTAGTTAATTTTGCTCATCCTCTGCTGATTATTTCTCCGGACTTATTTTTTTGGTGTCATTTTGAGGCATTAAGTGCAAAGAGGTTATACCATGGACTACAAGGAAAGCTGCCCAAGTGTAAGCATTCCCAGCTCTGATGAACACAGAGAGAAAAAGAAGAGGTTTACTGTAAGTATGTAACACAAAGCATATGGGAAATGATCATAGAGAATATTTCCAGTTCTACCTTTGTTCTTCTCTAACCTAGAATGACTTCCCTTCCCTCATTTCCAGTGTCCAGTTTGTACTTCTTTTGAATGATCTATCCTCCTCCATAAAACCTTCCCTGGCTACTGTAATTGTCTTGTTTTAGTGCAGATTTTTGCCTATTTACCTGTCCCCTTGGAAAATCTTAAGAAACTGTCTCAATATACCCTCTTACCAGAAAATGCACATGTGCATATATGTTGATGTACATACTGGTAATTTTCCGTGCACTGCCAGATGTTGTAGACTCCTGAAGTCACTGATCCCATTGGTAGAGCACTTGCCTAGCAAGCGCATGGCCCTGAGTTCAAGCCCCAGTACTATTCTTAAAAAAAAAAAGAACCACTGTCTTGAAATATTTTGTTTTGTTTTTTTTGGTGGTGGTGATACTGGTGCTTGAACTGAAAGCCTCATGCTTGCTAGGCACCTGCTCTACTCTTGAGCCATTCCACCTGCCCTTGAAATTTTCATAGTATCTTTTAACATTTGATGTTTTCTACCTCAGTTTAAAAAATACTCCACTGTTTATTTTATGTTTTTTTTTTTACCTTAGAGGCAAAGACTGTTTTTAATTTTTTTAACACTAGAGTGTATGTTGTAGGGCTTTATAAAAAGTAAGCACAATAGGGCTGGGGGCTTAGCTCAAGAGGTAGAGTGCTTGCCTAGCAAGCTGAAGCTCTGGGTTGAATTCCCAGCACTGAAAAGAAAAGAAAAAAGCAAGCAATAAGCACAGTGAATATTTGCCAAATCAATATTATTTTAGAATAGATACTTTTCTAATTAGTGTAATGAAATAATATAAAACTGTATTTAGTTCTAATAGTCTAGTTATATATGGAAAGAACTCTTACCGTCTTTCTCCTGTGAAAATGTCCTTTATCTTGTCTATAATTAATCGGGTCTTCTCTGTAAACAACCCCCCACCCCCAACACTCACTGAGTAATATGAAGAAATTCGTTTCATTAATTGATTAATTAATAACTTAGTTCTGTTTAGAGCTTAGTTTGATCTAGGTAAAATTCTCCAGGCTGTCATAATTCTGTTGTCTTTTTCTTTTTTGGTGGGACTGGAGTTTGAACTCAGAGCTTCACTTTGCAAAGCAGGCGCACTCTACCACTTGAGCCACACCTTCAATCCATTTTGCTCTGTTATTTTGGAGATAGATTTTCTTGAGCTATTTTCCCGGACTGGCCTGGATCCCTAATCCTCCCGATCTCAGCCTCCCAAGTAGCTAGGGTTACAGATGTGAGCAGCTGGTCCCAGCTCTGCTCTCTTTTTCTTATTTGAACATCTGTTCCTCCCTGAGGTTGGCATCTTGGTTTATGGGAGGAGGGGTGTCCACGTTCACAGTGATTGATGTGTAAATGACTGACCTCAAGGTTGCTGTGAAAGCACTTGTATTCTTATCATCCCTGGAGATCTTTACTATTCCATTTGTAGAGTGCCTCGTCTGGCAGATACACAGCTACAGTGGACACGATCCTGCCTTGGGCATTTTATCAGCTTTGGTTGCTAGCATCTGCAGTTGATGGGCTACTTGGGAATCCTTCTTCATTGGCTTGTCTAGGGTCTTATGGGGCTTTCCATAGCTAAAGATCCCCCTGAGGCTCTGACATGTCCTTTCCTGTGCTTGGCTCAGTGGTCCACCTCTAGCCTCCTTTAATGGGTCAGTCACCTGACCCCTGCCAGTTGAGCCACATGACAAGTGACTTTAAACTTAAGAGTCCATGTCACACAGGAGTTGAGGAAAGCTGAAAACTTAAAATTAACACTGTCTGACCCTCTATTCTGCCTTCTTATCTTTCTCCCAAGGTCCCAGACAGGGAGTTGACATACATCCCCCTTGGTTTTCTGGTCGTCATTCCTAAGCAAACACGCCTCCCACACCCTGAACTGAAGCCTAGAGCAGAGAGATGGGAGTGTGTATCTGACCATTTAACTCTCCCCAGCCTCAGTGTCACAAGGACATTATAAACAGTGTGTGTTTGTAACACATTTGTATAAGCACTTTTTTAGCAATATCACTTTGAAGGTACACCTCCAGCCCATTTTGTTCTGGTTATTGTGGAGATGGGGTCTAATGAACTCTTTAACCCAGTTGGCCTCAAACGATGATCCTCCTGATCTCAGTCTCCCAAGGATTATAGGCTTGAGCCATTGGCACCTAGCTACCCTACTGAATTTTTTAATAGCTGTTATCACCACCTGATATACTGTGTTTATTTGTGCATGTCTTGCCTGCTATAAGGCAAGGTCCTTTGAAGCAAGGACTTTCCTCTCAGTTGTTTCACCAGCTCTTCAAACAGAGGTAGTAGAGTTTAATATGTATTTATTAAATTGCTGTTGAATGAAAGTAGTACTGTTTCATTCTGTTAGCTACTAGTAGTCTGTTAGTTTTACTAGTCCTCAGTCCTCAAGAACCTTGGTTCTAGTCAACACAGATCAACCACACCTCACCCAACAGACTCTGTCCAGCTTAGCAAGCTCAGATGCTTTGTATAATTCAAAGCAAAAGTAGACATTGTGTTACTGAGTATTTAATAATATTTTAATATTCTTATTCTCATATGCCTTTTATATATGATTGCATTTCAGCATGCCTTAACTTAAGCCAAGTCTACATTATACTTTGGTTTAGCCACATAATTGTCAGTGGGTTTCTATATTGTGCCAGGTAATAGTGTAGGCACTGGGGGTTCAGTGAGTACTAAGAGTGACAATCCTAGCTTTCCAAGAACTTACATTCTTGTGAGGCAAGACACTAACATAATAGCAAATAAAAATAAGATAATTTCATACTATAATAACTCATGCTGCTCTCTGTGAAAAGTATGCATGGATTTATTACACTGGGATTTGACCAACTGTGGTCAAAATAAAATTATAAAAATTTGTTAAAAATCAAAAAAGAAATTTCCAAAACAAAAATTACAAATTCCTGCACATGCATTACATGGTTCAGTAGATGTGGAAAAGCTCTCAGTCCTGCATTATTAGTTGTATTTAAATTATTATATGATCTGCTGAGTGCTTCCTTGCCCTTAATTTTATGAAAATATGCCTCCCAAAAAGCAAGTGATACCCAAAAAGCAAGGTAAAAGTTACAGTAATTCTACCAAGCCAAAAAAACCAAAAAAACCCATTCAATGTGCTTACTTTAAGTGGTAAAGTGGAAATTTAGATTTATTGAAAGCAGCATTTCTTTAGTGGAAGTTGGGTGGCATTATGGGAAAAATGAATCAAGCATCCTCTGTGTATCCTGAGCGTTCATGGTTTTTCCTCAGCAGTGCCTCCTTGGAACTATGTACCTGCAGATACCAAGGACCTACTGTATTTTTACAATTTGAATAGTTTTTGGTTTTGTCTGTTGGAATTTTCTTAGAACTTATTTAATAAGCACTTATTTGTAACCATACTTCACAAAGCCCATTCCTATATATTGTTTGCTAGGGAGATACTCCATCCTGGAACCTAGACTTGTTTATAGTCTTAGCTTGTATTTGTGTAGCCAGAGTAGGCCACCTGACCTTTCAAATGACCACTTTCTACACCAGAAAGTCAGCACAAAGAATTTAAGAAGTTCAGTATCATACAAACCTAAGTTTCTCTTTTTTTTTGTCCTTTTGTAGCAGTGCTACTTCCAGGCCTGTCTGATCCTGAGTGCTGTATTTGATGTGTCTGTATCAGATATGTCTGTAGTCTAGTCTTAGTCAACTTCCCCTGGAAATGGTCTTCTACCATTTCCTTCTGCATGTTTTCCATTTGGGGGGGTGTTATCTTACATTTAATTCTTATATTTTACATCTAATAGCTCCTTCTAAGACAGCTTGATGCCTGTAGTTCATGAGCTCCAAACTCTCTTTTCCTCTCCATCTCAGTGATAACATCCTTTGCCCAGGTGACTGATAGCAGAGACTTTGCCTCACCTTTCAGTGGGACTTTAAACAGTACTACAGAGTTCATACAGTGTAATCTTAAGCAGTATCAAAACAGTATTTTCTCTCAGCTTTATCTAATGTGAACTTAGGTTACCTATTTTTCACGGCAAGGATAGTTTATACACATTTGTGTGCCCAACAACTGATATAAACCTGGTTTCCTCTTTTTAAGTTGTCTGACTGATGTGGACAATTGTACAGCAAACCCTAAAAGCAACTCATATCTTTCCTGTAGTTATCACTATAAAATATGAGATTGATAACCCAAGCCTTACATCAGACTGCCTTTCCTCATATACCTGAATTCTTGTTATTTACCCTTTAGAAATGATGCAAGATCTTCGGGATCCCAAATTTTTTTCTCATAATTCATTATAGTATGTTGAATTACATTCTAAGAGCACCTGTGGAATGAATAATGAGAATTAATTCTGTAACTATTGATGATTTGATACCAGTTCTGATACGTAGAGGGTAGATTTAGATTTTTAGTTTCAGTTTTATGTTAATTAAATCTATGAGTATGATCAAGTTACTTGGCTATTGTCTTTATTATATTGACTGAGGGTTATAATATTATAATAATGTTTACTTGATAGGGTTGTTGATTATGATAGTTTTTTTTCTTATAGATGTTAGGTACATGTAAGATGGCATTAAAAAATCTAAAAATAAATTTTTTGTTTGAAAAATACTGTGAGGGGCTAGGGGTGTGGCTCAAGTGGTAATGTCTGCCTAGCAAGAGCAAGGCCCTGAGTTCAAACCCCATTAAAAAGAAAGGGAGGGAGGAGGAAGGCAGGGAGGGCTGGAGGAAGGATGGATGGATGCTGTGTAAAGGATGACCTGGAAGGAAGAGAGATAATAGTCGAATGTTTACTTTGTTGCCAGGCATCGCCTTTGAAAACATTTTAAATTTCAAGGCAATAACTACTACTAGGGGAAGAAAAGAGGAAAATGGTATCAGTTGAACCTATGTGTTATTCTTAGGGAAAAACTCTGAATTAAAAATGGCAAAATGTTAGAATTCAGTAGATCTAAATAGTGAGTGTGTTTATGTTCACTATGGCATTCTCTTAAGATTCCAGAAAAATTTTATAACAGTTAAAAATATCACATTTGGACAAGATGAAATACATGTTTAAGTTAATATGTTATATAGTCTTGGAGAATCATACATAAACATCAATCTTAGTATCAGTTTCATGAGTATTAAAACAGGTTTTATATATTTAAGTAGCTAATGTAGTCTTTTTTGCAGCTAAAATTTGTTAAATTTTTTTTTTTTAAATTTCCACAGGTTTATAAGGTTCTGGTCTCTGTGGGCAGGAGTGAATGGTTTGTGTTCAGGAGATATGCAGAGTTTGACAAACTTTACAACACTGTAAGTAATAATCTGCAAGATTTCTATTTAAAACAAACACCTGAGAAAAATCCCAAAAGAAAGATTGATTTGGATGATTAAATTAATATATACATCAGACATGGCAAAAAAGGGAGAGATTCTTCAAAAGCATCCTAAACTTTAGTTTTGTTTTGTTTTTTACAAAAAGTGTGGAGAAAGGACTGTTGAGCAGTTCCAAATAAACCACTGAAAATAAAAGAAGTAGATGAACAATTTAAAATACATTTTAATGTCATCGAATACTAGAATTAAATCCTTTATGCTCAATAATAATTGTTAATCATCATGGCATATCTGGTTAAATTGTTTAACCCCGTAAGATCTGAAAGTCTTTGACAAACCTACTCTTCTTCCACATTTCATTCTTTTTTCTAATTCATTTATTCATATGTGCATGCATTGTTTGGGCCATTTCTCTCCCCCTGCCCCCCGACCCCCCCATATTTCATTCTTGAAGTCCTAGATTCCAGATTTTAAGTAGCTAACAGATAAAATTAGTATTGACTTTCTGTTACCTGGAGGGTGAAATTTAGAGACTGCTAGCTCTCTAAATGGCTGAAACTTGTTTTTATATACTCATAATTCATATATTAAACAGTTCTCATTGTCTAGTGATTGCAGTTGCACGTACTTTCTAAAGTAAGCAGTGAGGTACCAAGGTCATTGTAACTCAACAGGCCAGATTTCACCATGTACTGATGCTGGGTGGGTATGGCCTTGAAAATCTTATGTGGAGGTCAAAAAAATGCTTCCTGGGTCAGTCCTTGCATGACCCCAAGGTAAAAAGAACTCTGGGTTCCAAGCATTGATTCATCTAAACAAAAAAAATGCACCTCAAACTCCAATTTTATCTCCTAGTGTCTTTTTTTTAAAATGAGTACTAGATTACAAGGCATCCTCTGGCAAAAAGTTCTATTGTACATTTGGGAAGGTAATTATTTCATTTTGGTGGGGGAACAACACTGGGATTTGAACTCAAGGCTTCACACTTGCTAGGCGGGTAAACACTTGAGTCACTCCACCAATCCTTTTTTGTGTTGGGTATTTTTGTTGTTTTTGTTTTTACTGTACTGGGGTTTGAACTCAGGGCCTACACCTTGAGCCTCTCCACCAGCCATTTTTTGTGAAGGGTTTTTTTGAGATAGAGTCTCACAGACTATTTGCCTGGGCTGGCTTTGAACCATGATCCTCCTGATCTCTGCCTTCTGAGTAGCTAGAATTCCAGGCATGAACCACAGGCACCTGGCTAATTCTTTCATTTCTAAATACTGTCTCCTAATGTTAAAAATAGGGATAGATGTATAAATCTGTAGGCTATCATTTGTAAGATTTTTTTAAATGTGAGGGATATTAAACATATCTCTATTAGTAGATAAGTTACTGTGTGTGTGTGTGTGTGTGTGTGTGTGTGTGTGCGTGCGTATGTACGTACTCAGGCCTACACACTTGCTAAGTAAGTGCTCTTAGCACTTGAGCCACTTTACCAGCCCTTTTTTATGGGTTTTTTCTAAGATAGCATCTTGATAGCTATTTGCCTGGGGCTGGCTTCAAACCTCGATCCTCCTCATCTCTTCCTCCTGAGTTAGCTAGGATTAAGGAAGTGAGCTACCAGAGAGGAAATAAATTACTTCTTAAATAGGCTGGAATGAATCAAACAGTATCTAGCTGCAGCACTTCCATGTTAAGTTATGAAAGTTAGGCTTCTGATTCATTTTATTTAGCATTTCACTATAGCTATATTTTGTTCAAAATAATATTCAAATGACTTGCTAATTGAAATTGAACTTTGAGAAATAATGTTGTAATTTTTAAAGAGGCATTTATTTGTCCTGATGTAAAATTAGTACATATTATAGAAAATCTGGATAATAGAGGAAAGTAAAAGTAGGGTAAACTTAAAATATCACCCTTAATGTTACTACTCAGAGATAACAGTTAATATTTAATTAGTTGGGATGTTAATACTTGAGTGTCTTTAAAATAGGAAAGCTTGTTTTGGGTCGTTTCCTCTCGATCACTTTCACTCCCTTCTTCCATGAAAATACTCTGTCTTTAAACTTTGTGTGTGTGTGTATGTGTGTGTGTGCGACTGGAGTTTGAACTCAGGGCTTCACACTTGCAGAGCAGGCCCTATACTGGTTTGAGCTAGTCATTTTGCTCTGGTTATTTTGGAGATGGGGTTGGGTCTTGCGAACTTTTGTCTGGGGCTGGCCTTGAACCACCATCCTCCTGATCTCAGCCTCCCTAGTAGCTAGGATTATAGGAATGGGCCACCAGCACCCAATCACATTTAAGCTTTTGACAGAAAAAAATCTCCTTAACATGTAGTTCAGTTTTTATCATCAATCTCCGCATTTCTATTACATTTCTCTTCCTTTTTTAAAAATCATTTTCTGTCTACCTTATATAAATATCTCAAATTCTGCCTCCTGTGGTGAGGGGCAAATAAACAACAAGGAAAATGGTATCAATTGTGTTCTTTGAAAGGATGGAAATCACATTAAACCTAGCCCAGAATTCCCTAAGTTGAAAACGTATTCTTTAATGTGCTTCTCTTAGAATAAAAGTAATGACAAAATTTCTTTTCCAACCTGTAAGCATTTTGTCATCTTAGAACTATGTTTTTATGACTATAGTTTATATTTTTTAACTTTTTATTGATAAAAGTTGTCAAACATATACAGAAGTAGACAGACTAATACAAATACAGAAAATAATACAATGGTACCATCCATCTACAGTGACTGATCGAGCACCATTTATTTTCTCTTTGTCCCTAGCCAGCCCATTGTACTTTTGGCACCAATCTTAAATACCATGTCATTTCATTTGTAAATATTTTAGTCTACATCCCTAAAATAAAGATTCTTAAAACAAAATATAGTAATGCCTTAATATTAATCAGCTATGCAGTTAATGTTTCTGTAACTGGTTGGTAAGTCTATTAAGTGTCTTTTAAATTACTAGTATCCCCCTCTGTGTCTGTTTCCTTTACAATTTTTTTGTAGGTTTTTTTTTTTTTTTTAAACAGTCACTTGTTTACAGACTGTTTTTAGTCTGGATTTTGCATGGTGTAAAGTGATTGATACATTCCTTTCTTCTTTGTATTTCCTATCAGTTGCTAGGTTGAGCTATAGTTTCTGTGTGTATATACAGGTTTTTAACATCAAGCTTACAATAAAAGTGTAGCCCATTTTTATGACTTTACTATCTCAGATTTCTTCAGAGCCATATTTACCTCTCTGAGGACAAGCAAATCTGATAAACAAATGTATTAGAATATTTATAAGGAACTATGGAAATGATCCCTGAAAGTACAGTCTTTGTGTTAGAATGTTAGTAAGAGGAATGCTAGAGCAGGGGTGTTGAAAGCAAATCATCGATCTCACAAACTTATTGTCCGTCTATTCATGGAAAAAGAACACAAAGAGCACACCTTCTTTTGATGTGTAAACAGTGTGTAACATACTCAGAAAGACATGCTAGGTTCTAATTTAAATGCGTAACCTAAATGGTCTCCTTCAACCAGGACAAGAAGTCTGTAAGATGCTTGCTCAAACATCCTCATTTTATAGACAGGAAAACAGAGATGTTAAATAACTTGTCTAAGGTCACCAGTACTAAGTGTTTTCTTGGGACAAAATGGGATGATTAGTCTGTGGTACTTTATTGATTTTGTATATTTAAATATGTATATTTAAAGAATATTTTTTCTTGTTTTTATTTGTGTTTGATTTTCTTTTTAAAGAATATATTAAGTATGTATATATAAAGTGAATTTTTTAAAAAATTAGCTTGTATTTGTTTTTAGTACATATATAACTTATAAAATTAGTTCATGTAATACTAATTTTAAAAATTCTAGTTAAAGAAACAATTTCCTGCTATGGCCCTGAAGATTCCTGCCAAGAGAATATTCGGTGATAATTTTGATCCAGGTAAGCAATAACTTCCTAGACCAGCTGTTGAGTGAAGGTTGAAGTTTGAAGAGGTAGTTAACATATTCATAGCACTATATAGTAGTCTACGACTTTTTTTTTTTTAAACAGAATATCATTATGTAGCCCAGGCTGGCCTTGAACTCATACTCCTGCTTCAGCCTCTTAAGCGCCCAGATTACAGGCATGCACCACCACTACCACACCTGGTTTGTCTAGGACTTAAGGAAACTGAAGCACAGTTAGGTTCATTAATTTGCCCAGGGTTACATATAGGTAATAAATAGCAGATTTAAAAGTTAAATTCAAACAGTTTGGCTACAGATAAATTTATTAATCATTAAGGATAATTTAGGATACTTTTCTAACAGTTGGTACCCACTGGGGTTGTTCATCCTTGAGAGTCTACTGATATATATTTTTTTCTTTTTCCTTTTTCTTTTCTTTTCTTTCTTTTTTTTTTTTTTTTTGCGGTGCTGGGGCTTGAACTCAGAGCCTTCACTTTGAGCCACTCTGCCGGCCCTTTTTTTGTGAAGGGTTTTTTCAAGATAGGATCTCACAAATTATTTACTGGTATGGACCACAATCCTCCTGATCTCTGCCTGCTGAGTAGCTAGGATTGTAAGTGTGAGCCAATGAGGCCCGACTGGAGCCTATATATTTGAAGCCTCAAAACTGGATCTTTTCCTGGAATCTGAGTGATCAGTCTAGGTCACAGATGGCTCATTACAGGAGACAGAATTCTCCTATCCACCAGGAATTCATCAGGAGAGTGGTCTATCTCTGTTCCACACAAGAACCCTGAATGGATTGCCTTCCTGGCCAACTAATTTGCTTTCCCATCAGAGAAGTTGTCCTTCTCTGTTCCACAACAAGCACCCTGGATGGATTGCCCTTCCTGGCCAACTAATTTGCTTTACATTTTTATCTCCATTTAATCTGTGGCACATTACATAAATGCTATTGCTTCTTGGTAATCACTTAAACTTTGACCCTTCCCTTTCCCTTCCAGAACCTTTTCATTATGTTCTGTGGAATTCTGTCCACAATTAACAAACTCACCTCTTTATCAAACTCCAATCTTTTTAAATGTTTCTTTTACATTTTTGCTTTAGTTAAATCTTTTCCGCCTCGCAGCTCTCAAATGGGAGGTTCGTTATTTACACTTTTTTGTGGGGATCAGCACTTGGAATATTTGAAATAGGGCTCATGCTTGCAACGCAAGGCACTCTCACACATAGAATTGAACTACTCCACCAGCCCATGTTTACGCTTATGTTGAATCTCTAGATTGGAGAATGTTCTTACTTCTCAGTTTACCACATTGTCAATTTTTTTTTTTTATTCAATTGAGAGAATTATACGCATACTTTATTCATTGTATTTGCTTATCTTTTATGTTTCAGGTTTTATAGAGTTTAATGAAGTGGGATATTTTTATTGACTTTTTAATAGTACCTGGCAATACTAGAGTTTGGTTTTTTTGTTCTTTGGGCTTTTTTTGGTGCAATATTGGGGTTTGACACTCAGTACTTCATTGCTTGCAAAGCAGGAGCTCTACTACTTGAAGCTACACCTTCAGTCATTTTGTCTGGTTATTTTGGAGATGGGATCTTGCGAAACTATTTGGCCCATGGCTTGGCCTATAAATTGCAATCCTCTGAATGTAGCCTTCTTCTAGGAGGATATAGGCATAGCCTACCAGTGCTGGCAAAAATCCTAGATTTAAAATAGAAACTAGTAACATGAAGTCCATTAATAAGAAAAGCAAGGCAAAAATTGACAGTTGCCCACAACAATGCCAGATTATAAATTCAGTAGGATTGAGTCTGTGGACCAGTGTTTTTTGTACTTTTTGTTTTTAGCAGCAAGAATGTCTTTTTTTTCCCCTGCCAGTTGTCCTAGCATAGAATAAGAGCAAGAAGATTAGGGTGGAAATGAGGGTAGCCATATGAAGCCATGTTGAGAGTTTAAAATCGGACTGGCACTCTGTAGACCTTTTAGTTAATGCTTGAGGCCTGAAAATCATTCAATCAAGAAAGGAAGCGGGAAAGACAGTAAAAGACTTGAAAACATCACTGTTTCATTGTTAAAGCCAGAAAACTTAATGTTTTTGATGAATTAAGTATCTGACACTAGAATTTGATTTTTATTGAAGAACCATTTGACAAACCTATCTTGAAAGTGTTATTATAAGTGAACTGTCAACAGTAAGATAGAATTGTATGTCACAGAAATCTTGGACAAGCCGTACATTGGGAAACAAGCCTTAAGTCATAAAACTCCAAAGATGGAAAGATGCTTGTTTCATAAGCCTTTGAGGAATCAGGCCTTTCTCACATGCTGCTGCAGGAATGCAAAGTGCTGCAGTCCATTTTGAGAGTAATTTGGCACTGTTTAACAAAACCTTGCATACATTTCACTTTGACTAATGTAGCATGCTTTCAGAATCTATCTCAAAGATAAGTGGTGCGCAGGCAAGACTGGGTATGGTGATAGGATTTTTAGTGCAAAAACTAGAAACAATGAAATATCCTTCCAAGGCTGGAACACAATGTAACTATAAAAAGGAACAAAAAAGCTCTTTATATATGAATGGAGTGACCTCCAAAATATATTGTTAAGTGATGAAAAAAACAAGGCATAGATGAGTTTGTGTCATGTATTTTTTTGCGTAGGAAAGGGTATGGGCATTCAAAAAGAAATAATGGAAGAATAAATTTAAAAATGAATAAAACTGACGACTTTTAGGAGGAGGGAAAAGGCCAAGAGGGGCTTTAGGGGGGACGTTAGATTTCCCTGAATGAATCCCATTTATAGCTTTGACTTTGGAACTATGGATACATCTTAAAACAATTTAAAAACAAAAACAAAGGCTGAGGAAGCAGGATTTTGAGTATGAGGTTGGCCTGGGCTACAAAGCGAGACCCTGTCCCAGAAAACCAAAAAGGAAAAGGGAGAGAAGGAGGGAGGGAAGGAAGGAAGGAGAAAGGAAGGAATCCCTAATAGTATTTTACTTACTTATTCACTTCCAAAATACTTTATATTAAGTATAAAAACTTATACTTATTTTATACTTCTATTATGCTTATAAAGTTTAATATAACTTTGTATTAAGTTAGAGCTTAATATGTTTTTTTTCTTTTTTTTTTTAAATTGTGATCCTTACCTTCAACAGCTTATATAGAAACCACTTTTATTTTTCACTTTTAATAGATATTTTCACAAAAGTTACTCATTGGGGAGATTTAACAATACATCTCTTCAGCTATTCTTAAAGATAATACATTAACCTTGTGTAAATTAAGTGCCTTGTAGCACTTAACTGATATGGGTTTGGGCGCATTTTAGTCTGACCCTGTATTTTTTCAGAAATTTGCATGTTTAATGCTGACCTGAAAATTAAGTTTGGAATTTCCCTAAATTCTGCTACTGTTATATTTCTTGTTATTTCATTATTGCCACCTTTTCCCTTCTGTTCTTACGTAGGACTTTACATAGGTATTTAAATACTGCTCAAAGCCAGTAATGAAATGGAAAGTCTGGCAGCACTCAGTGCAGCGTAGACTGTAAGTCATTGAGGAAACGAAGTTCCTTTCTCTTTTCATTCTGACCCCAAAGCAAAACATATCATCAGTAAGTAGCCATAGACAGTTTAAAGGTGCTTCCACATAGTTACTAGATTTTCTTTTAATATTCTAGCCATAGTCATTCATTTTAGTTCTTCCTCCTGTATTACCAAGTCTAGTGTCTGACAAATGTCTTTCAAGTAGTTTTTAATGTAAATTTCACATATGTTTTACTGCCTGGTGACCTGAAAAATGCCCTTGTAAGAGTTTACAAGTTACCTACCTGAGATGCTTTAAGAAATTTAGGGCTGGCAGAAAGACTCAAGTGGCAGAGTGCGGAGTTCAAACTCCAGTGTTGCCCAAAAAAAAGGAAATTTGTAATTGAACTACAGCAGCAACAAAATTACCAAGTGTGTCTGGATCCAAAAGACCAGATCTAATGTTGTATGTTCTTTTTCTTTTTTGTTTTTAAGTAGGACTGGAGTTTGAACCACTTATAAACCAGGTGTTTTGAGCCACGCATGCAGTCCATTTTGCTCTGGTTATTTTGAAGATGGGGAGGTGGGGGTGGGGGTCTCATGCACTATTTGCCTTGGGTGACCTGGAACCTCTATCCTCCTGATCTTGGCCTCCCAGGTAGCTATAAATATGAGCCCCTGGTGTCTACCTGTATTTGTTTTTTAACAGCCGTACCTTACATTTAAGAAATGGACATGTTTATAATTCCATCTACACTGAAGGTGGAGATAGCAGGATTGCAAAAAATTCAGTGAGACCCTGTGTCAATAAACAAGACAGGGCTGGTATGATTACTGAAGCCTGTAAGCCTAGCTATTGAAGAGGGTAGAATCAGGATTACAGTTTGAAGCTAACTCAGGCAAAAAGTTCACAAGACCCCATCTCAACCAATGGCTGAGCATGGTCCCAGCTATGTGTGGAAGAACAAATAGGAGGATATTGGTCCAGGATAGCCGGAGCATAAAATGAGATCCTATCTTAAAAAAAATAACCAAAGCAGCTGTGGTGTGACTCAAGCAATAGAGTGCCTACCTAGTAAAAGTGAAGTCCTAAGTTCAAACCCAGTACCCACAAAAAAAAAAACCAAAACAAACAAAACCCAAAGCAGCCAGGCACTGGTGGCCCACACCTGTAATCCTTGCTACTTGGAAATTGAGACTGGGGATCACTGTTCCAAACCAGCCCAGGCAGGAGTTCACAAGATCCCATCTCAACCAGTAGCTGGGCGCTATGGTGCACACCTGTCATCTCAAGCTACAAATGAAGCTAAATTGGGAAGATGGGTGTTCCAGGCTGACTTCAGGTAAAAAAGTTTGTGAGGCCCCATTTCAACAGAGAAAAGCTGGATGTGGTTATTTACGCCTATCATCCCCACAATGTGGAAAGCTTAAAATTGAAGCATCCCAGTTGAGGCCAGCCTGGGCAAAACAAAAGGAATACCCTGTCTCCAAACAGCCAGAGCAAAAAGGGCTAGAGGTGTTTCTCAAGTGATAGAGTGCCTGCTTATCAAGCATAAAGCCCTGAGTTCTAGCACCAGTACAGCCAAAAAAGAAACAACCAGTGCAAAAAGGCTGGCAGCGTGGTTCAAGTGGTAGAGCACCTGCCTAGCATGAGCTAGGCCCTGAGTTCAAATGCCAGTGCTGGGGAAAAAAAAGAACCCAACAGATTTGTTGGGTAGAAATCAATTTTACTAAACTGAACCTCATCATTTATAGGTTCTATCTCTAGACGTTCACTATTAGGAAACAGTTTGTTTTTGTTTTTATGAGACTGGGGTTTGAACTCAGGACTTAAGTGTTTACAAAACAAGCACTCTATTGCTAATAATAATAACAAAAATGATACTAGGTAATGATTGTATTTGTACCATCTGTTAGCTATTCTTCTGTAACTACATTATGAGGTATAAATATTGCTATCTCCATCTCACAAGGAAGGAATTAGGTCTTGGAATGTCTCAAGATCAGTTAGTAAGTAACAGAAACAGGATATTTATTCCTGTTAATAAAAGTTTGCCAGTTCCAAGAACTGTTTGTGCTTAATATGTTTTACAGAACTGTTCAGTGGTGGTTGTGTAAGTTTTGGTTGTCAACAAATAAAACACTTTGAAGCTGCTGTATAATTATTTGTTAAGAAAGTGTACTAGCATATTTTTCAAGGAGTTATTTATTTAATTTTTTGGTACTTGGCTCAAACCCAGGGCTTTGTGTATGCTAGGTAAACAAGTGCTCTATCATTGAGCTATATTCCCAGCCTTTGGGAAAAAAGTAGCTTTTTTGAGACAGGGTCTCACTGTGTTTCCCAGGCCGAGCTCAAACGTGGGATCCTTCTGCCTCAGCCTCCTGGGTGCTGGGATTATAGGAGTGTACCACTATGCCCAGCTTCCAAGAGGTTTTTAGCATCGAAATTAAACCAGAGTTTTGGTGGTTTAACCAATTAATCATCATTTCCTAGTTATAAAGGATTTCTGCTAATCCTTTTTTTAAAGTATGATTTTCAGTCATCAGTGTTTTTATTTATCGCCTGATATGTAAGGAGCTGGAGAAAGCAAAGTGCCTTTCCAAGTTTTGTAGTGAGTCTTATAATTAGAATCTATCCAGGTATAGTGGTACACATCTGCAATCCAGCGTTTGGGAAGCAGGAGGATCATGAGTTCAAGGCCAGCTTGGACTACATAGCAGGATCCTGTCTCGAGAAGGAGAAGAAGGAAGGGGGTATTTAGATCTAAAATAGGCAGTTTTTGAAAGTTTTCTTTTGGGAGGTACATTTGCTTTAATTTTTTTTCTTTTTTGGTTGGAAGAGTTTGAGACAAGTCTTGCTGTATAGCCCAAGCTAGGTCTGAACTCTTGGTCATTCTACTGCCTCAGCTTCCCAAGTGTTGAGTTTACAGGTGTGCACCGTGCCCTGCTTTTTTTTGGCACTGAGGTTTGAATTCCACCTGTGCTTGTGCTTGCTAGGCAGGTGCTCTACCACTTTAGAGATGTCCCAAACCCTTTTTGCTCGAGTAATTTTTTCTAATAAGGTCTTGTGTTTGTGCTGAGACTGGCCTGGACTATAATCCTCCTTTTACACCTCCAACGTAGCTGTGATGAGAGGTACACACCTCTGCACCCAACTTTCATCAGTCAAAATGGGGTCTTGTTAACTCTTTTGCTGGCCTCCAACCAGGATCCTTCCAAGAAGCGCCCAGCACGCGCCCACCTTTGTTTTTTCAGTCACATTTATAGATCATATGCATTTCAATACATACAAATACTCCTGGTTGAATACTAAGCGTGAACTAAGAAATAGCTTCTTTATCTCAACTTACTATCTGTGCTTGTATATTGTTTATTCATGGTGTTGGGGATTGAACTCAGGACCTTGCTAGGCAAGCAAGTAAGCTACACCTACACCCCCAGCCCTTTGTGTGTGTGTGTGTGTGTGTTTCTGGGGTTTGATCTCAGGGCTTCATGCTTGCTGGGCAGGCACTCTACCACTTAAGCGTTTCTTCCAGCCCCGTGCTTGTGTGTTCTTACATAAATGTTTTGATAGTAACTACATAGACTGCCATAAATAATCCTAATGGTTATATCTCTCTTACAGATTTTATTAAACAAAGAAGAGCAGGACTGAATGAATTCATTCAGAACTTGGTTAGGTATCCAGAGCTTTACAACCAGTAAGTAATTTTCATTGTGCTCTAAAGGGACAGTGAAACCAAACCTAAGAGTATTGAATAAACCTTGTAAAGAATTTATCTTACCTATAAAATGTTACCATTCTCTATATGTTAATAAAATCTTCTGGAGCATCTTCCCCCAATGTTTGTTAGCCTCTTTTTCCCTTCCTCTCCTCTTCTTTGTTATATTGTTCTTTCCTTTTGTACTTGTATTGATTTTATAGATTAAACATGGAAGGAATTTGCATGATACAGTTAAAACATTTTGCTAATTATCTGATATTACATGTATCCAGAACTTCATACTATTTGCATTGGGAATAGGAAGCTATGTGAGTGTTGTCATACCTTCCAGAGGCATGGACTGCCAGGCTAATGTAACCAAGGAATTGAAGCCAGGTAATTTTCCATTAAGGCACCAGAAGATAACAGACATATATGACCAGCTCTGCTCAGGGAAGTTGGGGAAGGCTTCCTGGGACTTAAAGGATGTGTAATCAGTTAAGAAAAAAAAAATGGTATAGAGAGCATTCATACTAAAAAGATGAGTACATATTAAGAGGCTACAAAAAAAGCCTGAAAACTGAGGACACTTACATGTTAACATTGTGTGGTGACTGGAACGGAGTAGAATTTCACAAGAGGGGTTGCTGAAGGAGTGGGCAGGTTTCAGGCATACATGTCATCACATCCTGTGCCACCTGGGGCGGTATTCTGTGAACCTCAGGCTTCAGTCCTTTTCCACACGGCATCCAGACAGCACTTAAGTTGAAGACACTTTCTCAGCCCTGTGCATGTGTTGTGCTAATGAGTTTAAGACTACATGAGGGGAGAAGGTAAGCCATATCAGAAACACGTAGGAAAACACAGGTGAACCTGTGGCTTGGTTCATTTTCATTTTTCAGTCAGGTAGTAGATTTTGAATATTAATTATTCATTGTGATTTTTAATTTACATATATATGTTATTTCTTTTGTGTATATAAAACATTCCAAGAAGTAAGATAAAGTATCTAGGGTGTTTCTCCACAGGTCACCTATATGTGTAAATCTCAAGGTTGCACTATGGATGGTGGTGTGAACACGACACTTTTTTTTTTAACAATTTTTTTCAGAATCTCAACACTGAAGGACTATATTTTTGAGCAATTAAAATGGTGTGTGTGTTGCTGATGACTGTACCTAGGCCTGGCAAACGCTTTGCCACTCACCCATACCCCAGCCCTGAACAAATTTGTAGAAATGTTTGCCATTTGTGTAGTACTGTACAGTTTACAGAGGGTTGCTACCATTCTGAGCAGGTTCTCTGACTTGCTTTTTAAGTTTGTGAAATTTAATTTACTAAATTAACTAAAACAATAAAGCTGGACCTCTTCCAACATGGTCTTCTTCCCAGATCTGTGGATTTCCCCTGGTGTGCACAGATTGGAGAAGAGTCAAGGAGGTCCTACACCTCTGGTAGGACCAGGGTTATCAGAGCAGTAAGAGCAGTGTGTTTGCAGTGTTTCCATTTTGAAATTGAGGGGGATACTTGGGTTAAGAGATCCCATGTCAGGCCTCTTCCTCAGCAAAGAGCCTTTTGATATTTGTGTCATTTTTTAATAACATTTCTTTTCTTAGGACAAATTTTATGCTATCTTTACCTTATATCTACCCTTCTTACCCTCTTTAAGTTTTGGAGTATGCACTGGAGATTATTTTAAATTAGTATATCGTGGGCTTCTTTGAAAAATAATTCATACAGTCAGACTTAACATTTGTCTTTTTCTTTGACAGATCTTGGTGTGGAATTAAGTGTACAATTACTGGTGGTTATTGTTATTTCCTCTGGTATTTTAAACATTACTCAGAAACACACTATACAGTAAATACTGAATTTTCATTCTGACTCTTGAAATGTAATAGTATAAAGGTGTTATATTTGGCATTAAAATTCAACTAAAAGCAATTCTGTTATTTTAAATTGCCAGTTTTTAAATACTGAACTGTAACTGTATAAGTCCTACATATACAACTCAGTGGATTTTTGCATACACATGTCCCTTGTAAACACTGCCTTGTGAACACTTCGCCATTTGAACACATACTACTAATGCATATCACTAGAAGTGCATTTCAGGACAGATTTTTTTTAAATTAAAATTACTTGGTGTGAATTATAAACCATTTTAGGGCTTCAAATATAGTCTGATAATCTGGTTTCCTGAGAGATTTACCAATTTATACTCTTCTAGCAGTCTGTGACTATCCTGAAGACTCTTCCAGTCTTAGTTAGTATAACACTACAACTGCATTTATGATTTCAGGAGAAACTTTGTTTTTTTCTTGCTCTTATCAATACTATTGCCATTTTCCATTAACATCCTTTTCGGTGCACATGTGCAAACATTTCTGCAGTTTCTCTTTTTTTGGTGGGTGGGGTGGCACTGGGTTTGAACTAAGGGCCTTGTGCTTGTGTAGGCAGGTGCTCTCACCACTTGAATCACTCCACCAGCCATTTTGTGTGTGTGTGTGTGTGTGTGTGTGTGTGTGTGAGAGAGAAGAGTTTTTTTGAGATAGGGTCTCATGAACTATTTCCCTGGGGCTGGCTTCAAACCATGATGCTCCTGATCTCTATCTCCTGAGTAGCTAGGATTACAGGCATGAATCACTTGGCACCCAGCTCCATTTCTGGAGTTTCTGAGTTGTAAGGTTATGCATATTTTTAACCCTAGTGGATAGCAATGTTTGTACTTTGGTCAGCAATATGTAGAATCACCTCACCACCACTTAGCATTGTTAGTGGTATCTTACTAGCTCATTGTTGTTTTTCACTAATTAAAGAGTTGAATATGTTGTCAGAGATGGTAATATAAAATTACTTACCATCTTTTAGCATTTAATTCTAACCATGCTTAGAAGAGTCTTTAGGATGTTCACTTATTACTCTGAAAGTACAAATTAATATACCACCTGTCTGAAAATCAGTTTAGAAGACTGTATTTGAAGCCTTAAAATGGTCAAGTAATTTTAATTTTAAAAATGTGTCCTGAAAATCACAAATTCAGTTTTAGTGTTAAGCACAAAGCTCGAGAGTTACATTATTTATAGCATGAAAGTTACATAACTTTTAGTGTGTTTGTATTATTATACAATATTATACATCTACCAGAAGTGTTTATAAAGAGCTTTAACTGTGAATGGAGAATGCTTATGATGTAATTTAAGTGGAAAGCAGTAAGATAAAAATTTTAATATTGCGTGAACTCAGTTGTGCATAGAAAAAGACTGAAATAAAGTATGCCAAAATGTTAGTAGACGTAATACCAACCCACTTTGTAAAATTTCAGATAAAATTCATCATTTTAGCTATTTTAATGTGCACTCATTGGTTCTTAGTATGTTCACAATGCTGTACAGCCGTAATTGCTGTCTAATTCTATCATCCTGTGTCTAGTCCAACATTTCCATTAGAAAGAAACAGTACCTGCAAATTCTCTCTTCCACCAAAGCTTGACAACCACTAATCTAGATTATATCTTTAAAGATTTGCCTATTGTGGACATTTCTTACAAAATGAAGTCATATAATATGTGACCCTTTTGTTCTTTCTTTGTGTGCTTAGTATGTTTTTGAGGTTCATCCATGTTTTAACATGCACCAGTACTTATTTCTTTTATGGCTGAGTAATATTCTCCTGCATGGGTATACCACATTGTGTTCATCCATTTATCAGTTGATGGACTGGTGGGCTTTTTCCACTTTTTGGCTATTAGGAATCTAACACATGCTGCTGTGTGTATTCATGTATGAGATTTTGTGTGGGTATATGTATTTATTTCTTTTGAATCTATGGTTAGGATTTGAACTGCCAGATCATATTTTAACTTTTTGAGAAACTGCGAAACTCTTTTCTACAATGGCCTCACCATTTTACATTCTCACCAGCCCTACCCATTTTAAAGACAGTTTTTCATCTTCTGAATTTCCTGTAATGAATATATGTTATTTGTAGCTGGTTATTAAGACAATTTGAAATGACAATATTTGTTCATGCATGGCCCTCTTTAATTTTAGCCCATTGCTTTCTCTTCATCTTACATCTTTGTACCCATTTCCTCATATCTGCTATGGATCCTACTTTACAGTATATCTTTCATACCTCTGTATCTTTGAAAACTTTAGGCAGACTGTTCTTTGTGTCTGAGTATTTAATAATTGTTCTGTGCTGTCACTCCTTGTTTCTGGCTGCTGACTGGTGCTCTCTGTCAGCAGCCACCTTAGTTGCCTGTTTTGCTTCCAGTTTGCTATTAGAGAGCATGCTGCAGTGAGCACCACTGGTCCTGTGTTTTTCCTGTACTTTTTCTCTTCAACTAGTATTTCTCTGGCTAGGAAAAATGGAAACAAAAGCTCTCTAAGCATTGCCAGATTGCTTTTTAGAAAAGTTGTCTCATTCTACATTTTAACATGAGGGTGTTTCTTTCCCTGTATCTTTACAAAATTTTAGTGTTGTCTGTCTTTCTAACTTTAGCTAATGACATAAAGTGGTGACTCATTATTGATACTATTTATATTTTCCTGATCATTAGTGAAATTAGTGTCTGCACAAATTTGCTTGCCTTTTTGGGATTCCTTTTCTATGAACTTCCTGTTGATACTTTGCCTATTTTTTGAGTTCCCCATTTAAAAAAATTGAATTGCTTTTCCCTTTTATAGCAATGCGTTTTGTGTAAATTTCTTGCTATACATGCTAATGTAGTGGTTTTTATTTTAAAAGAGGGTAAAATCTGTAGACATCCTTCCTTTCAAAGTCGTAATGAAGTTAATTTTTTTTAGTCCAGATGTCAGAGCATTCCTTCAAATGGACAGCCCAAAACATCAGTCAGATCCATCTGAAGATGAGGATGAAAGAAGTACTCAGAAGGTAGTACAAGGAATTAATTGTATCTTTAACAGAAAAAAATACCATTTCACAAAGATAAAGTTTCTTTCAAACATTTACTCAAATGTAACGAAGTAATTTCCTCCATAGTGAATTTTCTACTCTGTATTACAAATACCTAAACACAATGCCTCCTGACCACTATTTCTTAAGAACTTCATAGAATTAATGGAATTAGTTCTTTCTTTCTTTCTTTCTTTTTTTTTTTTTTTTCCTGTTGTTGTTGTTGTTGTTTTGAGATAGGGTCCTTCTCGGTAGCCCAGGCTGGCCTTGAACATGGCAATTTTCCTGCCTCAGCCTCCCAAGTTCTGGAGTTAAGGCCCAGTGAATCTGTCTATACCTGGCTAGAATTAGTACTTTTTATAATAAAAAGGATAATTCAGATTTTAGAAAATAGCAAGTGAGAAGAGAAGTATTACTCATAGGCTTGCCACCCAGAACTTGTGAGTTTAACATTTTAGTGATTTTCTTCCCAGTTCTCTCTTCACATGTAGGCTTTTAAGCTCTCTAGGTTATATAGTGTGTACAGTTTCTCTTCACTTTACATCTTGTCTGTTTATTTTTTTTTAGGCAGTATTGGAGTTAGAACTCAGGGCCTTGAGCTCTCTTGGCAGGTGCTCTTCCACTTGAGACCCATCCCCAGCCCTTGTTACCTAAGTTATTTCTGAAGTAGGGCTTACTTTCTACCCAAGCCAGCCTAGATCTCGATCCTCCTATTTATGCTTCCTTCATAGCTAAGATGACAGGCATGCACCACCATGCCCAGCTGTTGGTTGAGATCTGGTCTAGTGAACTTTTGGCTCAGACTGACTTCGAGCTGCCATCCTTCTGATCTCTGCCTCTCACATCACATTTTTTCTTTTTTATCATTATATGTGTTTATCATCATAATTGTATTTGAAACTGTTACTTTGAATTTTCATCAGCAGGAAAGGCCGTTTGGACCAGAACATTATATAACCTTATTTTGCATTGTCAGGTTTTCATGTATAGAGTAGTCAATACACGTGTGCCAGTTGGCACCAATTTACTTTTTCTTTCTGCTGCATATGTACATAATCAGTATGTGTCCTAATAAACAGTAAGCTGTTAGTAATTTTTAAACTAGATTGTGATAGTAAATAAGCGAAACAAGCATGTTTTAGGAAGCTATTTCTAACATGCACTTCAAAAACTATGGGGAAGCTAGATGTGATGGTACATGCCTGCTACCCCAGCTATTTAGAAAGAGGCATGAGGATCACAAGTTTGAGACTAGCCTAAACAGAGCACAAGACCCTATCTCAGAAGTAAACTACGAGGGGAAGGGGGAATAAGGAAGAGTAACAGAGGGTGTAAATTTGATCAGAATACATTATGTGCATGTAAGGAAATACCACAATGAAACCACTTTGTACAACTAATATATACTGATTTTAAAAAACACAAACAAAAGGGCTGGGGTGGGGCTCAAGTGGTAGAGCACTTGCTTGTCTAGCACATGTGAGGCTCTGTGTTCCATCCCTAGTACCACAAAAAAAAAGAAAAACAAGCTATGGGAAAAGATAGATTGTAATAATCATATACAATGTAATAATTAGAATTATAAATGTTTACATAAACATGACAATACTTTTATAACTCAAAATATAACTGGTATTAAATATATGAGAAAATCAGAAGTGTTGAATTGAAGTCATTTTTCTTTATAATTTTTTTTCATTTTGTTGTGATTCTTTTTTGTGATTTAAAAGATAATGTTACAAGTTGGAACATTACTATCCCCGAGGTAAAATATTCTTCTGGAAAACAGACATTTCTTTTTCGTGACTACGAGAAAGTAACATTTTTCCTTCTTTGATGCCAAGGAGGATTCTCAGTGAAGAGAAAGATTAACTTTTTTATCTGAGACATGGTTAGAACCTCATAAAAGGATAGATTTGTCTCTCTGCAACTAGTCAAAAAGAAACAACAAATGGGGAAAAGATTTGCATAAAAAATTATCTATGAAAAATGCTTACAGTTGAATTTTTTAAAAATAATGTTACTTAAGAACCTAGTGGATAAAAAGAGAAGGGACGTGAAGAAGGATTTAGTGAAGAAGTATATGAGAAAATGTTTAGCCTCGATGGCAATAACAGATGGTTTATTACTTGTTTCTATAATGCTGTGGGTTGAACCAAGGGCCACGAACATGCTAAGCAAGTACCTCACCACTGAGCTACTGCCTCCAAATGAAATTTTTAAAGGAAATGTTTTTATTTTTCTGCCAAATTAACAAAGTTATAAGTAAATAAAATGCTGTAGGACTGAAAAGGATAGGTAAGATGACCAGTGCACCCTGGGCATTATTGGCCTCATGATTTTATGCAACTTTTTGAAAAGCAGTACACTTTACTTTGAAATTTATGCAAATGAGGTAATCCTTATAATTTTTTTCTATTAAAAAAATTGAATCAACCTTCATCGCCATCAGTCTGACTTTGCTTGTCCCTATATATGTAAAGTATCTTTGAAGATAATATTTTAAGCCTTGGCAGACTAAAGAAGTGAAATCAGCATATAAAAATCTACATGCACATTTACATAGTGTGAATTATAATCAGTTAAAAATATACAGAGATGAAATAATATCAATGTAAATATTTGCAGTTAATCTGTTGGTAAGATGGATATTTAAAAACGCCCTTTTCAACTCTGAGTATATATTTTTAATTAAAGACAGCTATTCAAATATTTTAAAGAATAAAATTAATGTAAATATGATTTTCCATGTTTTGCTTGGAGAGTATGTTAGCTGAGGTCATTTGAAGAACATAGCTATTAAGAACTTCTAAGTGTGTAAATAAATGAAGCTCATAAATGAAAGATTTTTGTAGTGAACCTATACCTCCTTATTTATAAAGAGAAAAATAAAGGTCAAGAGAGGCCAAGAAACTTAGGATCTCAATTAGTTTTTATATCATCAATAAGTTAAACCTTCCCCTCAATTTAGTGGTTAGATGTCATCTTTAAAAACAGTAGGTACATGGGCTGGTGGAATGGCTCAGGTGCTAAGAGCACCTGCCTAGCAAGTGCGAGGCCCTGAATTCAAACCCAGTACCACAAAAAAAAAAAAAGGAAAAAAAATAGTAGGTACAAGATAGAGGTATAGCTCAGGTGGTAGAGCACTTGTCTAGCAAGAGCAAAGCTCTGAATTCAAACTCCAGGACTGCTAAAAATGGTAGACAGAATGAAAAATTGTCTGGCTATACATTCCAGTAATTTTCACAATTTTAGGAATGTGCTAGGAATATCATTGCCATATAATACAAATCTATATGTAATTCGGAAGACAGATTGCCCATGTTGTTTAATCCATATTTATTGAACTATCTTCCCTCAATGAAAAGTTCATTGAATAGAAAATTGATCCAGTTATCCACACATTCACTAAAAGAATAAGTGTACAGAAATTACAGCTTAGTTTGAATTATGTTGCCAGATTCTTTGGAACACTAATATTTAGACATAAAATTTTACTCTCTCTAGCTACTCAAGAGGCAGAGATCAGGAGGATCACAGTTTGAAGTCAGCCTGGGCAAATAGTTTGCAAGACCCTGTCTGGAAAATGCCCAACATAAAATTAGACAGAGTGGCTCAAGTGATAGAGAGCCTGGCTAGCAAATATAAGGCCCTGAGTTCAAACCTCAGTGCTGTCAAAAAAAAAGCTTACTTTCATGTTAAAACTATACCACAACTGGACAAATCTCACTCAGTAAACCAGAGTATTTATAAATTTTTTGTCTTGTGCTAGACAAGTGATTTCATATACTTCTGTTTTCAGGGGATTTGAAATTACATGCAGTTTTTTTTATATAAAGATGTTAGTAGGGAATGTTTGAATTATAACTCAAAAGCTGGTGCCAGTGTTTTTTTGTAAGAAACATACTTCAGAATTTTTCAAGAATGAGAGTTTAGCATTTATTTAAAAAATGCTCTTTTCTGGAGATCAGGAATTCGATAAGAAATTCTGTTAAACTTTCTTGATTCTAATTAAAGAAGTTTTTTAAAAGCTTTTTCTACTTATATCTTGTACAGCGTGATGCAGGGCTCTAGTGAAAGTACATGTACTAAAGACATTTATAACTGATTTAATTCTCTGAATGTGTAAAGAACTTCAGAATGAACTTTCGTAAAGCAGAGCTCACTCACACTTGGCTTTTGTAGTAGAACACATGTACCTCGCACCCACCAGGCCCCAAGTGTGACCCCAGTACCACAAAACAGAGCAGACAATCACGCTGGCGGATCACTAGAGCCATTGTTTAGGATTTTGAGTTAAATTTCTAGCTAACTGTTAGAATCTTTCATAAGTTAAATTATTTTATGGCATATACTAGATAAATATTTGCTTTTAAGTTAATGGTAGGTATTAAATTTACTCTGTTAACTATTGTAAAGAGAAAAGCCTCTCTAAAGTTATGGAATTGCTGTGATACTGGAATCAGAAAAATCCTGTAGTGGTATTTCTTAGAAATAAACTTACCTATTATCAAAATATTAAGAAATTGAGTATAATCTTCATTACCATTATCCTATCATTTTCTGTTTTTAATGAACTATTTGAAATTTTGAAAGATACACATTTTAAACCACTTGTTTCTTAGGTTTATTTCCTTAGACTGTGTAATACATTTAGGCCTTCAAGGTAATTGTATAGTACAAAAATTTTAATGTAGAAGTCAAATTCATAAAATAAAAACACTATTTAGCCATTACCATTTGATTGAAGCTGATAACTACGTGGTAGCATTTTGCATATTTATCTCTTAAGGAATTGAACACTTCCACATTAAGTCTCAAAAAATTCTGAAGCTGTTTTTCATACACAGCAATTACTCAAAATGCATTTTTCACCCAACTGGGAATCTGATAACTGCCTCATGAACAGATCCAAATGCCAGGCTCACTTTGCTTTTTCCTATCTATGCTGGGCAAACCTGTGAAGTTTTTTTTTTTTTATTTCCAGAGAACTGTACTTTCTCTGTAAAGAAAAGTTCTTAGCTGAGAGCACAGTTCACAGAGCATTCGGCAATGCCTATAGTGCCACTGCTGCTCTGCTCAGTCACCTGGCGCCTCTCGTCCATTAAAGCAGAGGTGCATTCTTTGTTAGTGCCTTTTTGTCCTATGAGCCAGTCCTGTTGTGGTTCAAAAGGAAAAGAGTGAAAACAATTTATTGAACTAGCTGAGCAACTGATTCTGTGGGGGTTCACCCCTGACCTTTACAAGGACAATATTTCCATAAACAAATTGGGAGCTTTGTTTTTTTCCATGAAGACAACTAATCCAAACTTTAAAGACATTTGAATGTGGAATCACTTTACTGTTCTTTTCTATAATGATCTAGATTGAATGTCATTATGCACTGAAGCTTACTGAGTAATTGAGTACATATGAGCTTTATTTGATGATATAGTCATGGCTTTTTAAATATAAACCAGTTTTTGAAAAATTAAAATCCCTCTTAAATCATGTTTTTGATGCCCATTTCTTCTAAGCTTTCCCTGTTTACTTCAGTCATTTGCTAACTTAACTTTGATCTTTATTTTTGGTTTACCTTTTTCTCACAGCTGCTCTTGAAAGTTATAATAAAAGTGATTGTTTATGTTGGTTATGTACATTTTAAGAATGAGGACTTTAGGTTGCTTTAAAATTTACTGATATCTATGGTAAATAGTGTATTTTAAAAACTTGAAGTTCCAATAAGATTGCTGTTGTTTTTTTCCCCATCCAAACAGCTACACTCTACCTCACAGAACATCAACCTGGGACCAACTGCAAATCCTCAGTAAGTTTTAATTCTTTTCAAACAATCCTTTATCTAAATTGTAAGAAACTTTTTTTGAGTGTATACAGATGTAATTATATCTGTTTAATTGGGGGGCCTGTGAAAATATAGCCATAGTAATGATGACAACAATGCTATTGTTTGCTTGACTGACTCACTGTTGTAACTTTTCATAGCTTTAGTAGAGCCCTACTAAAGAGCTGTTTTTTTAACCTATAAATTGTTAATTGGATTCTGGCATTACGCCATTGTTACTGTTCTGATTTTATTTTTGTGTGCATATGAAAAATCAGTTGACCATATTTCCCAAGGATCTAAAATCCCATAAGGTATTCTAAAAAAGAAAAAGCATCCTTGCAGGCCTAATTAATACTCTCCTCATATTAGTGTTGATGGTGTACCAGCTTGTTAGCTGGTTGTTAGCCAGCTTGTTCCAGTGTCTTGATGGATACTACCATAAGGTCTTTAAACTTTATCTAGTTTTCCCCACATTTCCATATTTATTTGGGCACAGGGGAAACATTTTGAGGATTATGATCTGAGAAATGTCACATGAGACCAGGGGTAGCAAATGTAGGCCTCATCTCTACTGTCAACTCCAGCAGTTCAGTGGAAGTGAATATCTAGAGCATTCAATACAGAGGATTCCAAGGCTGCTACTTGACTTAGTTTGAAGAGTCCCCAGATTAATTAGTGATGTCTGCCACAGGCTGCAGTAAGTGTTGCTATTCTTACTTACCTGTAAGGCTTATTGGAATAAGCATGGAGTTTCTTTTATCCCAAGGCACCATGCTTACCCTGCCATTTGATCTACTTGGAAAGTGAATATAGACAGATAAATGACCCAAGGCTTATGACCAGAGACACTTCAACATCATGAGGTCAGGAAAAAGCTGGTAATGAGGACTGAGAAAGAATAGTAACGTAGGATGAAAACCAGGAATACAGCGTCCTGAAGTTGGGAAAAAGAAAACATCTCAAGGAGGGGCTAATTAACTCTGTTAATGTTGCTGATAGGACAATAAGAGAGCGATTGAAACCTGACCAAGTACTGGATTTGATAAGTCATCGGTGAACTTCCTGAGCAGTTTTGATGCTGTAGGTACAAGCCTTGATATGAAAGCGTTCACAGCACTGGAGCAGAGGTCAGCAGGATAGACAGCAAGCTTAGCCCTATTACTGAGGGTTTGCTGCATAGGAAAGCAAGGGACTGGCCTGGCAACTTGAAGAGGAAGTTTGGTCTTGAGCATTCTTTTCTATCATTCATAGCATTGAACAAGATGGTACCTCAAAGCAAAATTTACTTTTGATTAGGGTTCATCAACAGCAGTTAATGATGGGGCCTCAGCCTATTTGCACTTTGGAGGATTTACATGTGTTTCATTGTTACATTTGTTGGTTTCATTTAAAAATTATTTCATTTTCTCAACATTTTAATAACAAAAAGAGCAGGTTTCTGAAAAAGAAATACATCTAAGTTTAGTTCAGTTAAGTATTTATCTCACTAATTAAGCTAGCCCTAGTATTACTGCCATGTGTGAATTGACTTTTTTAATAATCGTTAGAAATTCAAATTTAAATGGAGCCATTCCTCTCTGTTACAACTTAGGGATTCAACCTGTCTTGAAGGAAACAGTTCTTCCAGCTACTTAGCTCTACTTTACACTGCCATATGCATTTGACTGTATATAGCCAATGTTTTTTTTTTTTTTCATTTTTCTTTTATTATTCATATGTGCATACAAGGCTTGGTTCATTTCTCCCCCCTGCCCCCACCCCCTCCCTTACCACCCACTCCGCCCCCTCCCTCTCCCCCCCCTCAATACCCAGCAGAAACTATTTTGCCCTTATTTCTAATTTTGTTGTAGAAAGAGTATAAGCAATAATAGGAAGGAACAAGGGTTTTTGCTGGTTGGGATAAGGATAGCTATACAGGGCATTGACTCACATTGATTTCCTGTGCGTGGGTGTTACCTTCTAGGTTCTTTTTGATCTAACCTTTTCTCTAGTTCCTGGTCCCCTTTTCCTATTGGCCTCAGTTGCTTTAAGGTATCTGCTTTAGTTTCTCTGCATTAAGGGCAACAAATGCTAGCTAGTTTTTTTAGGTGTCTTACCTATCCTCACCCCTCCCTTGTGTGCTCTCGCTTTTATCATGTGCTCATAGTCCAATCCCCTTGTTGTGTTTTGCCCTTGATCTAATGTCCACATATGAGGGAGAACATACGATTTTTGGTTTTTTGGGCCAGGTTAACCTCACTCAGAATGATGTTCTCCAATTCCATCCATTTACCAGCAAATGATAACATTTCGTTGTTCTTCATGGCTGCATAAAATTCCATTGTGTATAGATACCACATTTTCTTAATCCATTCGTCAGTGCTGGGGCATCTTGGCTGTTTCCATAACTTGGCTATTGTGAATAGTGCCGCAATAAACATGGATGTGCAGGTGCCTCTGGAGTAACAGTCTTTTGGGTATATCCCCAAGAGTGGTATTGCTGGATCAAATGGTAGATCGATGTCCAGCTTTTTAAGTAGCCTCCAAATTTTTTTCCAGAGTGGTTGTACTAGTCTACATTCCCACCAACATTGTAAGAGGGTTCCTTTTTCCCCGCATCCTCGTCAACACCTGTTGTTGGTGGTGTTATAGCCAATGTTTTTATCTGATCAGTTAAAATAAATAAAAGGACAATCTTAGTATTCCTTCTGGCTTTCCTCTAGTTATCATCCAGGAGAGTAACACAGACAGGTCATATCTTTAATGTATAAGTGACCTGTGTAAAATACCGTGAAGACTTTTTTTTTTCCGCACCAGAAAGTTTTCTTAGCATTTTTACTAGGTGTTACAACTAGTAACTTCTTTTTTAGAAGAATTACCAGATATAGGGCTGGGTGCATGGCTCAAGTAGTAGAATGCTTGTCTAGCAAATGTGAGGCCTTGAGTTCAATCCCTAGTACCACAGGGAGGGAAAAAAAAGGAATTACCAGATACTGATGATCGTGATCGTGCTTGGAATGCATTACTTATTTACACAATTAATTCAGTTTCCTTACTAACAACATTGGTAAAGTTCATGGTTAATAGATAGAGATACGTTATAGATATATATCTTTATAGAGTTATATCTCCATCCTTCTCTCCCAGAGAATGTTATTAAAGTCCATCTTTAGCAGAACTTAAGAAGACTTAAATAAAATTAGAAAATATTTAATCACAAAGTATCCCTTAGTAAAAACAAGATTTGCCAGGTGTTCTGAAAGCTGGGGTCATCATACCTTCATAAGTATTTTGTACCTAACGTGTATTCGTTAAAGAATGAGATGTTATAACAGTTTGTACTTTTCTTACCAGAAGTCTGACAAGTCATTCTTAATTTATTTCAGTGCTAAACCAACTGACTTTGATTTTTTAAAAGTTATTGGAAAAGGCAGCTTTGGCAAGGTAAGAGTGTTTGTATTTTCTCAATCAGTGACTAAGTCCTTAGGGAATGAGTGTATGCTTACATGTGTGAGTCATGGGACTTGGTTGCATGCAAGACATAGACTTAAGCTTCTTTCTCTGTCCTCAAAGTGTTAACAGAATAATTAGGGAGATAAAGCATGCTCTCAGATTCTAAAAGTATTTGTTGAGCACCTATGTGTCTAGTACCCATGGGCCCTGGTTAAATACTGTCAAAAACCTGTCATGGTTACTATTTCCATGATGCTTAGAAGCTAGTGGGGAAATAATCTGTTAAAAACTTGCTGTCAAGTATGTATAAAAAGTAATGGGGCTGTGATGGACATCAGAAACAGTGTGAATGACAGGACAGTATGCAGCAGCAGAGGGCAGAATCCCTATTTAGATGGGTTGGTTGAGGATGACTTCTTTAAAGATGTGCTATTTAAACTGAGGCTGGAAAGAGAGAAATGAACATCTGTGTGAATAATAAATAGTTGGCAAAGGGAAGGAATGTAAAGACCCTGTTTATTTTCATAGACTATCAGATGGATCATGTAACTTGACAATATAGCTATATCAAAAAAGGAGAATCACCAGGAAAAGCATCATAGATGAATTTATCAGAATGATCAGATATATTCAAGTGTTTTTTCACATTGTTTTTCAATCTATAGTAAAAGTGAAAATGTTTGCATTTAATTATATTTTGCTATATTCATAGCTTTTATTATTTCCAGTTTTATTATTTTCAGTTCCTTTGAGATCAGAAGTTGTGATAGTACCATTAAAACCCATGTGCACTCATTCATTCACCACCTGTCACATGCTGTGCATTGTACTAGTATAAACAATAGAAAATTAGAAATGGATCTTACTCTCAAAATGCTAATAGTTTATTGGAATGTTGGAGACAGTTTGTCACTAAAAACAAAAACAAAGCTGGGTGTGATGGAGCATGCTTGTTATCCCAGCTATTCAGGAGGCTGAGGCAGAAGGATCATGAGTTCAAGGCCAGCCTGGGAAACATGAGATTCCCATCTTAAAAACAGCAATGAAGAACAAAAAGGTTGTTTTTGGAACTTCACACTTAGCTCTAGAATCCACCAGGAATTTGTTCATACATATTATGTGAGGTGTAGGGTCACAGTTCATTTTTTTCCTATGGGTATTCAGCTGATCCTGCAGAATTTATGAAAAGACTTCTTTACTCACTGATCTGCAGGCCGCTTTCATTATATATCCCATGCACAAGTCTGTTTTAGATTTTATATTTCTGTTTCTACATTTTGATATTCTATCCATTGTTCTACTTATCCTGGCACCAATGCCACACTGTTTTAACTGTAGCTTGATAATCAACAGGACAGATCCTTTCCTTATTCTTCAAGAGGCCTTTCTTAGGTTTTTGCATGTCCATAATACATTTTGGAGTCATGTCAATTTCTGCAAAAACTTCAGTTGGGACTGGGATCACATTGACTCTGTAAATAATTTGGGGAGAGTTTATGATATCTTTATGATATTGAGTCTCAGTCCATGACCATGGTAAAACCCTTTGTTAATTTAGCTCATTTAACTTCTCGATATTCATAGCGTTCTGTATGGAATTTTATACAGATCTTTAATTAGATTTAATCTTAGGTTTTTTTATGCTGTTGAAAATCTGTATAATTATTGAGGGTGAATATATTCATTAGCTATGATAAATTGGTTGTACTCCTACCTAGCTTCCCAACGGGAAATGCATATACATATGAAAGGCCTACGTAGTCATGCTCATACATCACTATTCAGAAACAATTTGAATATCACTGAAGGAATGTATAGTGGAATATTCTGCATAGCAATGAAAACTATGCTTCATTCCACAACATAAGTGAATACTGCATAATTTAAAGTGAAAGAAGTGAGAAAAGGAAAATTTTGTTTGTATAATTCTAATTACATAAATTTTTTTAAAAATCCAAAGCTACTTGTTATGGCAAGTCAAGAGAGTGACAATTACCTTTGAGGAGGAGTTGGATGAGTCATTAACTGGGATGGGGCAAAAGAGAGATTTCATGTTACTGGCATGTTTTATTTGACCTAGATAGTGGTTTCATAGGTGTGTTCACTGTGTCATAATTTATCAAGCTATGATGATTTGTGAGTTTTTCTACATGTATGGTGTGTTTAATAAAAATTTTAAATCTTACAAAGTGATTAGAAAATGCAATAAAACCAGCAAAAGGCTTTAAAACAAAAAGAAGGGAAAGCAAACAAATGCAAATTCACATTCTGCTTGAAAAATAGAAAGGTACATAATAAACTGAACATATATAACAGCAGTCTGACATTTATTCTAGACACTGTACAGTGGGTGGTCTTGATTCCACTTTGTGTTTGATGATTTGTTTCTTAACCTATCTGTTGTCCAAATCTGCCAATCTACTGGAAAAAAAATGCCTTTTTTTTTTTTTAATCGTCACACAGATTTATTGCCTCCCAGCTCTGGGACTCAAAAGTCCCAAACCAAGGCATGAGCAGGGCTGTTTCCTTCAGGAGACTCTGCACAAGGGTCAGTTCCATGGCTCTCTCCTGGCTTCTGTGTTGCTGGCCATCCTTGGTGTTCCTTTTATTATTATTATTATTATTATTATTATTCATATGTGTATACAATGCTTGGGTCATTTCTCCCCCCTGCCCCCACCCAAAAAATGCCTTCTAATTGCCACATTTTTGAAGTATTTTCTAAGAAGGTACTTATTGATGAAAGATGCATCGGAGAAGGAAAGGTTAGGCAGCTTAGAGTTGTCAAGAAAGAAAAAAAATTGAGGAAGAAATGTTCACTCAAGTCATATTCTGTTGAGAACAAGAAAATAAGAAACAAGAAAAATGCAGTTAAGCAGAGGACATTTTCATCCTGAAAATGTTTGACTCTTGTCTTTATAAATAACAAACATTTTTATTGATAGACTTTCTTTCTTAAAACAGTTTTAGATTTAATGAAAAATTGAGCAGACAGTGCAAAGAATTCCCAACACAGTTGTGTTCTTATGAGCATCTATGTTAGTATGGTACATTTATCACAACTGATGAACCAGTGTTGATACATTACTAACAGAAGACTTACTCAGATTTCCTTAGTTTTTGCCTTGTGTCTTTTTCTGTTCAAGAGTATTTAGACTGAGAGTTACAGGTTTTAGCAGGTAAGACCTCAGAGATACTAGAAATAAGCCACAGCAATACTACCAGTTGCTGTGTCAGATCAGCTAAAAAGCTTTGGGACAAATTGTTTAATAATTATAGAACTTGTGGGTGGTCTCAAATTCCTTACAGTTAACAATGGGAATGTGTTCTGATAAATGTGTTCTACACTTGATCTTAGCCAAAAGGCCAAGAAATGATGATAAATGTGTCTTTAAGCAATTTCATCATTGTGAGGACATCACAAATTATACTCACACAAACCTAGATGGTGTAGCCTTCTACATACCTAGGCTGTATGGTACACACTGTCATATATGTGGTCCATCACTGACCAAAATATTGTTATGCAGAGCATAACAATATTTCCAAGACCTTGAGTAAGTATTCCATTTTCTGGGGCAAGATCCTCTAGGTTTCTTCAGATTCTTAAAAGTGTCTGTATGCAACCCAGTCTATTGTAAAAACTCAGCTATACATGATGCCTCTTCCTCTGAACTATTCTGAATTTAAAGCCAATAAGATTACCTAAATATAAAGAAGAATGCGGGCTGGCGGAGTGACTCAAGTGGTCAGAGCACCTGCCTAGCAAGCGCGAGGCCCTAACTTCAAACCCCATTGCTGCCGAAAAAAAAAAACAAAAATAAGAATGCCTTTTGGTCACCAGAAATAAATCATTTCCTTTATATAGCTATGAAGTTCATATCCTCAGTATTTTCTAAGGGCACTCTGAGTTAACACACACATTAAGCTCTCAAGCAGTATGGATTTGGGTCTCATTATCAATATATTAAGTGATAAAGAAATGGTGCCTGATTATCCAAATCACTGTCCTTTTCTGTTTTATTAAAATAGCTAAGGAAATGAAATTATGTAAATAAATTTAGTAGTACTCAATTTTCAAAAGGAAAACATTATATAGGTCCCTTGTCGACTTACATTTTGTAAAATTTAAAAATTAGTTCATCAACAAAGAAGTTCTCCCTATAAAAATAGTGAAATTTCTAATTGTTTACATAATCTTTTTAACAGGTTCTTCTTGCAAAGCGGAAACTGGATGGGAAGTTTTATGCTGTCAAAGTGTTACAGAAAAAGATAGTTCTCAATAGAAAAGAGGTAAAATAGCTGTTGTTTCTCCTTAGCTCATTTTCTTAACTAACAGAATTGTTTTCTGGCATATAATACAAGTTGATTCTTTTCCTTTTTTTCTAGCAAAAACATATTATGGCCGAACGTAATGTGCTCTTGAAAAATGTGAAACATCCATTTTTGGTTGGATTGCATTATTCTTTCCAAACAACTGAAAAGCTTTATTTTGTTTTGGATTTTGTTAATGGAGGGGAGGTGAGTTTTGTAATTAAGTTTTCTAGTATTGATAATAGAAAAATAGCTTGGAGTCAGAAAGGTTTACTTGTAAGTTTTAAAGTGACAGTTTATTGTCAGCAGCTGTGTGTTGAGTAAATATTCAAGGGACTGACTAAGGGCCCTTTAACATATGGTGTAGTGGGGAAATTCATAAAACAACCTTGGTGTGAAGCTATAGACATTATGAATAGGTTTGTCACTAAGCTGTAAAACAAGAATGATGTACTGAAATATTAGAATAAAATATGATTTGTAGTTAAGGTAATGACTGTTTCCACAGGTACCTATAAATCTTACTCCAGCCTGCATTTTCTAAAAGGCACAAACTATTACTCACTGAGGTGATCCTCTAATAAAGAACCCTGTGGTGAAGTCAGTTGGGAAATGATTCATGTTTTAACCACCTTTTGGTTGATTCACAGAATATTTTAGCATGTTAAAGACTTTGAGAAGATCTGTTTAGAACAAAGAATTTCTAAAAGTCTTTTTTTAAATCACACAATCCCCTGTTTGAGCCAAATCTATTAGTAATAGTCTCCAAAACTCTGATTGAGAAGAATATTGAAATATACTTTGTAAATATAATAGTTACAGCAGTCGCTAATGTGTGTTGAGTATCACTTATGTGCCCAGCACTCTGGCTCTTTGTGTATATTATTTTATCTTAACAGTAGTCTAATTATAAAAGACAAACTTGGGCACAGAGAAGCCATGTAGCTCGTAGAAGTTGTGTAGTTAGCAAGTATTGGAGTTGGACTGAATTCAGGCATCAGGCAGATTAATTCCAGGTTCTAGACAGCTGACCATTCCTGTGGTCCTCAGTTCTCACATGTTTCTAATTTGTTTGATCTGTGACCCATGAGTGTCGCTTAAAATTATTTTAACTAATAGATATTACCATCTTTACAAAGGAATCATCCATTCCCTAATCTCAGCAGAAAGAAGAAGAAAGAACATTTCATTGTTTTGTAGTATACCTACCTATAGCATAAAGCAGCTAGGAGGAAAACTTGTTTCTATTCTGCAAATCTGACAATTGATTAAAAACACCCAGATCATTTTGGGACAAGGTCCTAAAAAGAATCTACTTGAACTCCTTATCTATGACAAAAGTCTCTTAAGGCTCAGCATAGAAGCAAGATTTTGAGGTATCCTGATTCAGGGATGTAGATGACCTCACATTGTTCCCAATTTGGAGCTTGTCATTTTATTTTATGTGTGTCCAAATGCTAGCAGCTAATAAGAAATTATTCTGGGTTTGCACTTTGCAATTATTTTGCATGCATTATTTCAGTTAGCCCATAACTTTTTGAGATTACTCTTCTAACCCATTTTATGGATAAGAAAATTGAGGCTCAGAGAGGTTAACTTTCTCAGTGTTCTGGTGTCAAGTTCCACATTTAACCTACACTTTGTGACTGTAGTGCCACTCTGTATCTCTGAAGTGCCACTGTGTATCTTTGAAGTGTTCATGTGAGGTATCTAACTGCACATAAGATCCTACTATGAGTTTTCTGCTTTAGTTTTGGTTTCTTCATGCTGTTGTAGGACTGTGCTTCTGAGCCCTTTTTATACAGTGTCTGCTTAAAACTGATCAGCAAAGGTGCAAATAGGCAGGCTTGTCATCCAAGAGATGTACTTGACTGAGATAATGAAAAAATGAAATATAATAGAGGAACTAGGAAGCATAAGAAATGAGCTGGATGCTGGACTGAAGTAAGAGGATTGAGAATTTGAAGCTAACCTGAGTCACATAGCAAATTCTAGGTCATCCTAGGCTACATAGCAAGACCTTGTCTCAAAAAACAAAACAAGGGCCAGGCATAGTGGCACACACCTGTAATCCTAGCTAGTGGGAAGTGGAGGTAGATGATCAAGGTCCCAGACCTTTTACCTAGGTAAAAGGGTAAGATACTATCTAAAAAGTGAACTAAAAGCAAAACGATTAGAGTGACTCAAGTGGTAGGAGGGCCCTGAATTCAATCCCTAGTACCACTGAGAGGGGAAAAAAACAAAAACAGAAATGAACTAAAGTTCAGGTACTGCTCACATCCAGCCATTTCCAACCACATTGAATGTAGATGTTGATGGTGTGCAGCTTTCTAATTTTTTTTCTCCACAAGCAACCAAAACTCAGTTTTTACTGTACATTATATTCTCCTAGTCACTGTATTTGTATTTGGTTTTTGGTGTGTTTTTTTTTGTTGTTGTTGTTTGTTTGTTATATCTTGTTTTCAGCGGTACTAGGGTTTGAACTCAGAGCTTTAGCCTCACTAGGCAGTCACTCTTAACACTTGGCCATGCCCCCAGCCCTTTTTGCTTTGGTTATTTTGGGAATGGAGCCTTCTGTTTATGCCTGAACCGACCTGAACTATGATCCTTCTATTTCTGCTTCCCACATAGCTGGGATGACAGGCAAGTGTCACCATGCCCAGCTTTTATTGGTTGAGATTGAAGTCTCATAAATGTTTTCCTCCCTGGACTGGTCGAACTACAATCCTCCTGATCTCTGCCTACCAAGTAACTAGGATTCCAGGTGTGAGCCACCCTACCTGTCCTGTTTGTTTTTTAATGAAAAAGCAATACAGAGAGGCTCAGTACAATAATTACATGGCACTCTCAAGACTGTTAGTCTTCATTGACAATCTTCTTCTACAGTGGTTGTCTGGAAAGATTAGGATGAGGATTGAGAGGAGTACATGAGTTATGAGCGAAGTGAGGAAGGGTAAGCAAGATGATAGCTGAAAAGAGGATGATAGTTGAAAAGAGGATGATAGCTGAAAAGAGCATGATAGAATTATTGGATGAGAGAAGGAGGGTCACAGGCCTGAGTGTTACTGCATTTTATTTCATGTTCAAAATATCAAAAACAATTTCCACTTTTGTATTTACAGAATATGTTTAACACTATATGTGAATGATTTTAATATTTCCCCAACCCCCAATTTTGCAGCTGTTTTTTCACTTACAAAGAGAACGGTCCTTTCCTGAACACAGAGCGAGGTTTTATGCTGCTGAAATTGCTAGTGCATTGGGTTACTTGCACTCCATCAAAATAGTGTACAGGTAAATTGTTTTAAGTTTTACATGTAAAAGTATTTTCAGTCTTAATTCAGGTAAAACTCAGCTTTTTTTTTTTTTCTTTCCTCTTAATTCGATAGAGACTTGAAACCAGAAAATATTCTTTTAGATTCGATGGTAAGTATTGCCTTTTAAAAATTTGTTAGTTCTCAAATTTTTGTTGTTGTTATGCATGGTGGAAAAGTGTCTTAAATGATCTCTACTATATGATTGCATTTATATAACGTTCTTGAAGTGATAAGACTAGAATTGGGAACAGATTAGTGGTTGCAACAGAACAGGGTCCAAGGAGAGTGCAAAGATAAAGGAATAGCATTAGAGGATGTCTTTGTGATATAATAGCTCTCTATATTACACGAACCTGTACATGTGTATTTCATAGAAACTCATACACACAGGAGCATTCATCTTTAAAAAGTGAAACCAGTTATGATCTGTCTTCTAGTTAGCAGTATTGTACCAATGTCCATTTCCTGCTTGATATTATACTGTAATGTCAATACTGAGGGAAGCTGGGTGAGAGTACATAGAACTCTTATGTACTATTTTTGAGTTTCCTGTATGTCTGTTACAAAATAGAAAGGTTTTAAAAATTGCTAATTTGTATCCATGTATTATTTTACCTTTCTGCCCCTGTATTTGTCAGGGACATGTTGTCCTAACAGATTTTGGACTTTGTAAAGAAGGAATTGCTATTTCCGATACCACCACAACCTTTTGTGGAACACCAGAGGTAAAAAATATATCTTGTCATTGATATAATTTGTATAATAATGTGTGGTTTACATTTGCATTCTATAAAAACACGTTTTAACTGACTTTGCAGCTCATTTAAAGCTTCAGTTTGCAGTCATTCTTTTAAAAGATTTCTATGTGGAATGTTCACTTAAAATTAAGTCCTCACTGGGATTTCAAGTTTCATTGTCAGAGATGCAGAAGTTCTTCTTCAGTGCAATGCTAGACTATTTTACTTCAGTTCTTAGTGTTTTTCTTTCAAGGGTTTCCCAATTTTACTTTTGAATTTTTTTTTTTTTGCCTACTTCCTTTAATATATTCTCAGGTGAGGCTAGTTGATAATTATATCAATAACCATATGAATGAAGATGATAAATGAGGTATAAAGATGATAAATGAGGTATAAAGATGATGAATGAGTTGTAGAATCAACATAATGAAAAGAAACTGCAAGATCAGAAGAGCAACCAGAATCCTCTACAGGAAAATAATAGTTAAAATTCCAGTATAAAAGGTTCTGGGTAGATAACCTTTATTAAGTGGTGTTCTGGTACAAAGGGGTAAAAAGTTTCTTTACCATTGGTATCTCTAGAATCTCCAGCTTCTGCATTTAGAATTTCCATGCATTTTTCCAGTGCTAAGTCTTTGATGAAGGAGCTCTGTGTACATTCATCTGTCTTAAATGCACTGACAAATCACTTCAAGGCTTCTTTGCTTAATACATAACCAGCTTCTCTGCTCATGTGACCCTGCGTTACATAGGTCTTAAATCTTCTTCCAAAGTAAATGGGTTATTCAGCTGAGTCATACTTTGAAAGAATCTATCTCAAATTGTGCAGTATGATGTATGTATCATCATCAGCTTTCATAAACCAATCAGCATCTTCTAAATAATGTCATAAACATACTGAAAAGCTTTGTTTTTCCAGTATGGTTGATCTCTGCTTTTTTTTTTTTTTTTGTAGTACTGGGGTTTGAACTCAGGGCATACAACTTGAGCCATGCCAACAGTTCTTTTGTGTGTGTGTATAATGGGTTTTTTTCGAGATAGGGTCTCACAAACTATTTGCCCAGGTTGGCTTCAAACTGTAATCCTTCCAGTCTCTGCCTCCTGAGTAGCTAGGATTACAGGCATGAGCCCCACCAGCACCTGACTCTTCTTTGGTTTTTAATCCCACAGTAGGGAAGTCTTAATTTTCTTCTGATGAATTGTACATTTTAAAAGGGTGAATTAAGCTAGTGATGGTGGCTGAAGCCTATAATTCTAGCTACTGGGGAGACAGAGATCACGGTTCAAAGCCAGCCCTGGCAAATAGTTCATGAGACCCTATCTCAAAAATGCACCACAAAAAAGAGCTTAAGTGGTAGTACATAGTGCCTGCTTTGCAGGCTTGAGGCACTGAGTTCAAATCCCAATACTGCCCGGGGGAGGGGGTGGGGGGGCGGGAAGGTGAATTGTAAGGTATGTGAATCTCTAAGCTGGTTTTTAAAAACTGAGCTAAAGCAAATATGGCCAAGTATTAATATTGCCTATAATTGTGTGGCAGTTTGACTGATTTTTGTTACATTTTGGTATTTTGTTCTGTATGGTTGTAATACTTCATAATAAAATTATTTTAAAGAAAACTAAAGAAGTAGATTTGAAAAGAATCACAGTTCATAATTTAACCAGGATATTCTATTCTTAAACATTGTTAGCTAGGAGAAAATGTATCTTTTTTTTTCTTTTTATCTTAGAGAAGGAGGCTCTCAAACTATTTTGCCTAGATCCACGATCCTCCTGATTTCAGCCTCCCCAAGTAGTTAGAATTATAGGTGAGCCACCAGTGCCAAGCGTGTATCTTTTTTTTATTTTTAATATTAATAATCTTAGTTTATTTTAAATCTTTATTCATGTATGGAAATGTCACAGTGGAACACATTAATGTGTATAATTAATAATGCTTTAAAAATTATAAGAATTTTAAAGCCTTATTCTCACTTCCCACACAACTCTGCTTTATTTCAAACTGTCTTAATTTCATTATATTTACATAGTGATCTTAGGTACCATGTAATGTTTCATCATCATTGTGGGATAACTGCACTAAGCATTTTTTTTTTCTTTTTTCTTTTTTTTTTTGTGGTAGTGGGGTTTGAAGTCAGGGCTCTGTCTGTGCTTGCCAGGCCAGCACTCTCTCTACTGCTTAAACCATGTTTACAGCCCAGGTACTTTCAAATACAATGTTGAAAATGTAACCTAGGTTTGTTAGGGAATACACACACACCCCAAAACAGAAACAGTGGGAGGGGGAAAGCTATTAAAATTATCTTCAAGTAATAATCATTTATCCTAAAAATGTATTTTTGTTTCTTTTCTCTCTCTCTACTCTAACCCTAACTCTTAGATATTTTTGTAACCATTCTGTTTTGGTTTGTAGTGTGAAGAAATTTTTGTATGAATGTACAGTGATTTAAAAAAATCTTTCCTAAGTCCTGTAGTTTTAGAAAGCAAACACACGCTTTTTTGGCATTTAAATGTAAAAGTGATCAGAAATTATTAGACCATTTTATTTATTTATTTATTTAGTGGTACTGGGGCTTGAACTCAGGGCCTTCACCTTGAGCCACTCTACCAGCCCTTTTTTTGTATTTTGGAGATAGGGTATTGCAAACTATTTGCCTGGGCTGACTTTGAACCACGATCCTTGGATTACAGGTGTGAGCCGCTGGTTCCCGGCAAACCATTTTTATTTATGTTAGCATTTTTGGATCACATAAAAAAAGCCTAAGAGGAAATTTCAAATCACTTCTTTACATATATTTCATGTGGGAATAAGTTATATATTTTGGAATGTAAAATTTAGATTTACCGTCTTCTATGTGTGAATTTGTGATAAGTTTTTTATGAATTAAACACAAGGTTTTTAACATGCCTGAGACTTGCTATTGTAATTCTCAATAAGAATGCAGTTCCGGCTTTTGTCTTTTCCTTAAAAAGAAAAAGTAAGGATTATAATTGTCACATTAAGAATTCTTAGTTGTGTATCCATGCCTGTAATCCCAGCATGTGGGAGGCTAAGGGAAAATGATTCCCAGTTTAAGGCTAGCGTTGGCTAAGTAACAATGACCCTGTTCCCTCACCCTCCCCCCAAAAAAACAAAACAAAACAAAACTCCAAAGAATTTTTTCTGAAGCTGGGCATGGTGGTGGGAGGCTGAAGCAGGAGGATCTGTTGAGCCAAGGCTCACCTTGGCAACATAGTGAAACCCTGTTTCAATATGTATATAATTCTTCAAAGGAAAACAAATAATGACAAGACAAACTTGTAAATTAATTTGATGAAAGACTTTCTCCCAGAATACCTATTTTGTGTATCAGCATTATGTATCCCGCATTTGTTGTTTTTTCTGTGTGCCTTTTTTTTTTTTTTTTCTGGATGATGATTTCTTTGCTAGGGTTTGTTGTTTTTGCTTTTTGTTAGCAGGATCAGATTTAAACTCAGAGCTTCCTGCTTATAAGGCAAGTGCTCTACCTCTTGTGCCACTCTCCCAGACTGTCTTAAGTGCATCAGGTTCTGGGTGAAGTGCTTGAGTATATGTGTTTTGAAAAGTGTTCCCGTTGACATTGCCTAAGAACCACTACTATAGATTGAGAAGACCCAACCCTTTGAAAATCCAGATGATACCGTTTTAGTATGATAATGATGCCTAAAATGTGTTATACTTCTCAGTTACTTCCAAATTTTGTCTTCAGCTTTATTGAGTTCTCATGTTTTCATTATTTTCAACAGTATCTTGCACCTGAAGTAATCAGAAAACAGCCCTATGACAACACTGTAGATTGGTGGTGCCTTGGTGCTGTGCTATATGAAATGCTGTATGGATTGGTATGTATTTCTGTTCTTGATAATAATCTCATATTATTGATAATATAGTAATTGGTTATCTTTTAATAAAACCTCAAGGACAGTTTCATATCAGTAATAGAGCAATAATAGTCTTAAGTGAATCCAAAACCACATTAGAAATGTGTACAAAAAGAAAAACTGCATTTTGTTACTGGGTTTCAAAATTAATACTATTTCTCTGTCATATCGATCACTACTTTCAGGTGTTATCATTATACAGGCAATTTTAGAAATAGACATCTAGATATAACATTAAAATTCTGCTTTCAGCCAGGCACTGGTGGCTCACGCCTCTAATCCTAGCTACTCAGGAGGCAGGAAGGATTGCAGTTCAAAGCCAACTTGGGCAAATAGTTTGAGAGACCCTATCTCGAAAAAACCCTTAACAAAAAATGTGTGTGCGTGGGAGGGGGTGGCTGGTGGAGTGGCTCGAGGTGTAGGCCCTGAGTTCAAGGCCGAGTACTGCAAAAAAAAAAAAAAAAAAAAAAAATTCTGCTTTCATTCTGTTTACACCAAACATGAGCTGCCTAATTTCAAAAAGATAGAAAGGCAAAAGATTTTTGCAGTTATCAGTACATTCAAAAGATAATGCCTTTTGGGATTTTGCCTTTTATTTTGTTTTTATGGGATTTAATTACTATACCAGGGCTCACCTTTTTCTACCACTGGAGATCCCTCTTTATTCCTTTCCCTGTAAACACCATTTCATTGGGGTTGGGGGAAAGATGTTTACTATGTAATGAATTACCCCAGTTTTTAGTAAGTACATAGCCAAAAGTTCTATTAAAATGAAAGTTGTTTTTCTTCATTTAGATAATGTTATTCTAACTGAAAGCAAACAATTTAGGCATTTTAGTTAGTTTTTCCTTATCTTTATAAGTTTTGTTTTTCCTTAGCCTTTTTGAAATATTTGGGGTGATTTCTAGCTCCCTTTGTGATCCCTTAGTTTCTGTCCATCCAGCAGCCTCATGTGAGAACCACACCCTGATCCCTGAGGTTGCTGTCAACACTGATACTAAGTGTGACCACCAGCTGAGACCTGAGCAGGTGTGTGTGTTTCCTGCTAACCTTGGAGCCTCTCAGTTAGCTTCAGCACAATGAGATATACTGTTTCATACAGATAATTTTGAATGATAGAGTCCTAGGAAAACCAACACTGTCTATTCTTTGCCCTGGAATTACAAAAAATAATGCTAGTGATTTAGAATGTTGGATAACCACTTTATATCTTACTTTCTTCAGGCATTTGAGGGTTTGCTATCTTGATATTTCAGAATCTTTTGTGTTTCTTTACAGGACTTTTAAAGTATAAAATAAGGTATTTTAAAAGTTAAGATACAAGGGGTTTTTTTTTTTTTATTTGGTTTTCTTTCTTGTAAAAAAGTGACAGACCCATAAAACTCCCTTAACTTCAGCCACATTTAAAAAAAATTTTTTGGTGGCGCTGGGCCTCTCACTTGATAGGCAGGTGCTCTACCTCTTGAGCCAATCTGCCAGCAACTCCCTTAACTTTAAAAATTATTTTTACTTTAAAACTTTTGGCCAGATGATTAACTGGCTAATGTTCACATTGAAGCTATGACTTAGGTCTTTAGGCTATGGCACTAGGATCTTTAATTCTACAAAGCACACTCCTAATGTTGTCATTGTCACAAGTACTTAGGAAGGCTGGTTATCTTCAGGTCTCTGTCTCACCTGGACAAGTTCTTCCCCCAAGTCTGCAGAAATTATTTAATGTTTGATCTTGTCAGTCTTTATTTCTAATCTTTATTTCTGCCATTATACCTATGATGAGGCTGGTGGTTGTTTTCTCTAAAACATACTTTAGAAGTTATGTTCATTTTAACAGCTCTCAACAGGCCAATCCTTGTGAACGTGTATTAAGCTCAGTAGCCTACTAGGTTTTTTTAAGTTCTTTGCCACACTGCCAATGTCTACATGTGCCAAGAAGATCATACATTTCTGTAGCTGTCCAGACACAAATGCTCCCTGAAGAACAAACCCAAGTCTAACTATTCTTTAAAACTATTTTGGCATAATTGACTCACCACTGAGTTTCTTTATTTTGCGTTTCTTTCAGCCTCCTTTTTACTGCCGAGATGTTGCCGAAATGTATGATAACATTCTTCACAAGCCCCTAAGTTTGAGACCAGGAGTGAGCCTCACAGCCTGGTCCATCCTGGAAGAACTCCTAGAAAAAGACAGGCAGAATCGACTTGGTGCCAAAGAAGACTTTGTATGTAACATGTTTCCCAGTACCAGCTTTATTTAAAAAAAATTATATTTAATGAAATAGCTGTTAATGAATAATGTAATTGAAAAAAAAAACTTGTTCCCACAATTTTCACTAATGTTCATGTGGAACTATGCATCATTTAAAACACTTTAACTTAGAGTTGTTTCATACAATCTTCTGTTTATGCCCCACATCCAGGTTTTATATCCTATTATTTATTTGATTATCATTTTAAAAAACTTCTGTGCCCTTCCCTTTATATATATTTACATGCATACATATATAGGAGTTGAACTCAGGGTCTCACACTTGCTCTGCAGGTACTCTACCACTCAATTCCACCAGCTGCCGTGGCTCAAGCCAGTAATCCTAGCTGCTTAGGAAACAGAGATCCAGAGGCTCATGGTTTGAGGCCAGCATGGCCAAAAAGTTCCTGAGACCTTCTCTCAACCAATGGCTGGATGAAATGTTGCACACCTGTTATCCCACCTACACAACGAAGCATAAATAAGGAGAATTGTCGTTCAGGGCAGCCTGGGCATAAAACAAGACTATCTCAAAAATAACTGCACAATAGGGCTGGCAGAGTGCTCAATATTATAGTGCCTACCTAGCAAGCATGAGGCCCTAAGTACTGCCAAAAAAATGTTATATGGAATATATTTTTGCTGGGGCTGGTGTCATGACTCAAGTGTAGTAGAGTACCTGCCTGGCAAGTGTTCTACCATCTAAGCTATGCCCCAAGTCCTTTTAGTTTAAAAAAAAAAATTTATTTGGTGGTACTAGGGTTTAAGCTCAGCGTTTCATGTGTGCTAGGCAGGCACTGTACTGCTTGAGTCATATGTGCAGCCCTAGGTTTTTAATTTTGATTCTGCTGCTATCTTTGCCTGGGCTGACATCAAGTTCTCAGTCCTCCTCCCTTTACCTCTGGAGTAGCTGGGACTACAAGTGTGTACCAGGAGACAGGGTCTTGTTAGGTAGCCAGGCTGGCCAGGAACTTGCTATGTAGTCCAGATTGGCCTTGAACTCAAGATCCTTCTTCCTCAGCCTCTGGAGTGCTGGGATTACAGGAATGTGCTACCTCAGCTGGAAATGAAAATTTTTACTACTACATACTAGCATTTCCATGACCTTATAACACAGAGACTAAACAACTAGTTAGATTTTTCCTGGGGCTTGATGGTACATAAACTTTTTTTTTAATTTTTATTGTTTTATTATTCATATGTGCATACAATGTTTGGGTCATTTCTCCCCCCAGCCCCATCCCCTCCCTTACCACCACTCCACTCCCTCCCTCTCCCCCTCACCCACTCAATACCTGGCAGAAACTATTTTGTCCTTATCTCTAATTTTGTTGTAGAGAGAATATAAGCAATAATAGGAAGGAACAAGGGTTTTTGCTGGTTGAGATAAGGATAGCTATACAGGGAGTTGACTCACATTAATTTCCTGTGTGTGTGTTACCTTCTAGGTTAATTCTTTTTGATCTAACCTTTTCTCTAGTTCCTGGTCCCCTTCTCCTATTGGCAGCAGTTGCTTTTAAGGTATCTGCTTTAGTTTCTCTGTGTTGAGGGCAACAAATGCTAGCTAATTTTTTAGGTGTCTTACCTATCCTCACCCCTCCCTTGTGTGCTCTCGCTTTTATCATGTGCTCAAAATCCAATCCCCTTGTTGTGTTTGCCCTTGATCTAATGTCCACATATGAGGGAGAACATACGATTTTTGGTCTTTTGGGCCAGGCTAACCTCACTCAGAATGATGTTCTTCAATTCCATCCATTTACCAGCGAATGATAACATTTCATTCTTCTTCATGGCTGCATAAAATTCCATTGTGTATAGATACCACATTTTCTTGATCCATTCATCAGTAGTGGAGCATCTTGGCTGTTTCCATAACTTGGCTGTTGTGAATAGTGCCGCAATAAACATGGGTGTGCAGGTGCCTCTGGAGTAACCTTTGTCAGTCTTTTGGGTATATCCCCAAGAGTGGTATTGCTGGATCATTCTCTTTAATGAATGTCTTTGGAATTTTGATGGGAATTGCATTAAACATGCAATTTTTACTTTTGGGAGTATAGACATTTTTACTGTTGATTCTACCAATCCATGAGCATGGGAGATCTCTCCACTTTCTACAGTCTTCCTCAATCTCTTTCTTCAAAAGTGTATAGTTTTCCTTGTAGAGGTCATTCACATCTTTTGTTAGGTTTACACCTAGGTATTTGATTTTTTTGAGGCTATTGTAAATGGAATTGTTTTCATACATTCTTTTTCAGTTTGCTCATTGTTAGTGTATAGAAATGCTAATGATTTTTCTATGTTGATTTTATATCCTACTACCTTGCTATAGCTATTGATGATGTCTAGAAGCTTCTGAGTAGAGTTTTTTTGGGTCTTTAAGGTATAGGATCATGTCGTCTGCAAATAGGGATATTTTGACAGTTTCTTTACCTATTTGTATTCCTTTTATTCCTTCTTCTTGCCTAATTGCTCTGGATAGGAATTCCAGTACTATGTTGAATAGGAGTGGAGATAATGGGCATCCTTGTCTGGTTCCTGATTTTAGAAGGAATGGTTTCAGTTTTTCTCCGTTAGGTTTGTCATATATAGCTTTTATAATGTTGAGGTACTTTCCTTCTATTCCTAGTTTTCTTAGAGCTTTTATCATGAAATGGTGTTGGATCTTATCAAAGGCTTTTTCTGCATCTATTGAGATGATCAAGTGGTTTTTGTCTTTGCTTCTGTTAATGTGGTTTATTACGTTTATTGATTTTCATATGTTGAACCACCCCTGCATTCCTGGGATGAAGCCTACTTGGTCGTGGTGAATAATCTTTTTGATGTGTTGTTGAATTTGGTTTGCCGTTATTTTGTTGAGGATTTTTGTGTCAGTGTTCATTAAGGAGATTGGCCTATAGTTCTCCTTTTTGGAGGTGTCTTTGCCTGGTTTTGGGATAAGAGTAATACTGGCTTCATAAAATGTGTTTGGCAGTTTTCCTTCCCTTTCTATTTCATGGAACAGTTTAAGGAGGGTTGGTATCAGTTCTTCTTTAAAGGTCTGATAGAATTCAGCAGAGAATCCATCAGGTCCTGGACTTTTCTTTTTGGGGAGACTCTTGATTGCTGCTTCAATTTCATTTTGTGTTATAGATCTATTCAGGTGATTAATTTCCTCTTGGTTCAGTTTTGGATGATCATATGTATCTAGAAATCTGTCCATTTCTTTAAGATTTTCAAATTTATTTGAATATAGGTTCTCGAAGAAGTCTCTGATGATTTCCTGGACTTCCAATGTGTTTGTTGTTATCTCCCCTTTTGCATTCCTGATTCTACTAATTTGGGTTTTTTCTCTCCTCATTTTAGTCAGGTTTGCCAGGGGTCTATCGATCTTGTTTATTTTTTCAAAGAACCAACTTTTTGTTTCATTAATTCTTTGTATGGTTTTTTTGGTTTCTATTTCGTTGATTTCAGCTCTTATTTTTATTATTTCTCTCCTTCTATTTGTTTTGGGATTTGCTTGTTCTTGTTTTTCTAGGAGTTTGAGATGTATCATTAGGTCATTGATTTGGGCTCTTTCAGTCTTTTTAATATATGCACTCATGGCTATAAACTTTCCTCTCAGGACTGCCTTAGCTGTGTCCCATAGGTTCCAGTAGGTTGTGTTTTCATTTTCATTGACTTCCAGGAACTTTTTAATTTCCTCTTTTATTTCATCAATGACCCATTGTTCATTAAGTAATGAGTTATTTAGTTTCCAGCTGTTTGCATTTTTTTTGTCTTTACTTTTGTTGTTGAGTTCTAGTTTTACTGCATTGTGATCAGATAGTATGCACGGTATAATTTCTATTTTCTTATATTTGCTGAGGCTTGCTTTGTGCCCTAGGATATGATCTATTTTGGAGAGGGTTCTATGGGCTGCTGAAAAGAATGTATATTGTTTAGAAGTTGGATGAAATGTTCTATAGACATCAAGTAGGTCCATTTGATCTATTGTATATTTTAGATCTTGGATTTCTTTATAGATTTTTTTTTGTATGACCTATCTATTGGTGATAATGGGGTGCTAAAGTCTCCCACAACCACTGCGTTGGAGTTAATGTATGCTTTTAGGTCTTTCAGGGTATGTTTGATGAAATTCCATGCATTGTCATTGGGTGTATATAGGTTGATAATTATTATATCCTTTTGGTCTATTTCCCCTTTTATTAGTATGGAATGTCCTTCTTTATCTCATTTGATCAATGTAGGTTTGAAGTCTACTTTGTCAGAGATAAGTATTGCCACTCCTGCCTGTTTTCGGGGGCCATTGGCTTGGTAAATCTTCTTCCATCCTTTCATCCTAAGCCTATGCTTATTTCTTTCGGCGAGATGGGTCTCCTGTAAGCAACAAATTGTTGGATCTTCCTTTTTAATCCATTTCATCAAGTGGTGCCTTTTGATGGGTGAATTAAGTCTGTTATCATTAAGTGTTAGTAGTGATAGGTATGTGGTGATTCCTGTCATTTAGTTGTCTTAGTTGATTGAAGGTTTGATCGTGTGTACCCAAGTCGAGGTTACTCTCTACTTTTTTGCTTTTTCTTTTCCTGTAGTTTGGTGCTGCCTGTCCTTGCATGGTTAAGTTGGGTTTCACTTTCTGTGTGCAGAATGCCTTGAAGAATCTTTTGTAGTGGTGGCTTTGTGGTCACATATTGTTTTAGTTTCTGCTTATCATGGAAGACTTTTATTGCTCCATCTATTTTGAATGACAGTTTTTCTGGGTAGAGTATCCTGGGGTTGAAATTATTTTCATTCAGTGCCTGGAAGATCTCACCCCATGCTCTTCTTGCTTTTAATGTTTCTGTTGAGAAGTCTGCTGTAATTTTGATGGGTTTACCTTTGTATGTTACTTGTTTTTTCTCTCTTACAGCCTTCAATATTCTTTCTCTAGTTTCTGAGCTTGTCGTTTTAATGATATGTCGTGGGTAGTTCTATTTTGATGTGGTCTGTTTGGTGTCC